TCATAGCGACTTGTGTTGCCATTTAACATCGCTAGCGAAGCAGTCAACGCATTTACGTGCATCGTAGATCCCGTTACTCCACAGCCTTTCAAACCAACGCTGCCCCTCTTTCCCCCACACCCCCCTTCTTCTCACATGCTATCTTCATCCCAGTCTCAATCAAGGTTCGTGATGGGTTTACTGGCTGTGATGTGGAAGGTAACAGGTCTTTGGTCTGACTGCATCTTACCCGACCTATACGAGTGTGTGATCGCCGACGGTTGCAACGTGTAACGAGCCATTAGAGACGAGGAGTGTGTTTAGACGTGTAGTGCTGAGTAGATCTACCAACGATTTATGTAACACATAACATATGAAAACAAAATAAACTGCTCGTAATATGCTCACAAAAAATCAATGCATGCGTATAATCGGATACGGGAAACGCTAGTAATTTCATGATTTAACGTTACTAGAGTAACTGTTTAAAAAATGTTTTTGGTTTTCAATTTTTGGTTGGGTTCTTTTTGTTCATTTGTTTTGTTCCATTGGGATAGTCTGGTAGTTTTGTCTTGTGTTTTTGTTCTTTGCGTTTTGTGTGTGTTTTGATTTTTTCATTTACTTTTTTTTCGTTTTGCTTGTTTTCAAAGGTGTTTGGGAAGGGGTTGAAGTAATTCGATTATGGTTATGACTAAGGTTAGCGTTGAGAAAATATATCTTTGGTTTCTATATTTTGTTGTTTTGCTGTTTTTGTTTTGTACTCTTTGATTTGTTTGTTGGGTTTGTTTCGGGGTGGTTTTTTGTGTGTTTGTTTTGTTGTTGTTTGTGTGTGTGTGTTTCTTTGTTGTTGTTGTTGTTTGTTTGTTTGTTTGTTTGTTTTTTTTTTGTTGTTTTTTGGAGGGGGTTGTAGTGGGCTGTGTGTGTGTTTTCATTTGCTTTGGTTTTGCTTTGCTTTTTTGCAAGAGGATGGCAAGGTGTTGGTTTCAGGGGGTTGAGAAATACCATTATGCTTTACTCTGCAAGTCTCACAGAAAGGATAAGAAATCAACGGTTGCCTTTATATACGTTTTACAAAACATCTAGATGAATTGTTTAAGGTCTGTGCTCCCAACTACATGGAATCTAACAATTGATTTAAAATCATGTCATAAAATACCCAAATGTTTTAGATGTAGACATGGGCACCTGATATATAGCCATGGTTCTGGGTGTATGTAGATATCACGGCCTTCAGTATTGATGCTCTGTCGCGTGATGATACACTGCCCCCGTGTACATTGATCTGTTGTTTACGACCAACTTTTCGGCATCGCCGGGATACCAGATGGTGTGGGTGGTTTGATAGGGGAATGTGTTAGGTATATCATTTATTCAGATAGATATACCTTACCTTATTAACGCGGTTGCCATTAGAACGCGTTGAGGATTATCAAGAAGCTTCGAGGAATTATCTGTCCTGTAATGCCAAGCTCTTGGGCCAAGGACTTTCAGCATTCATTGGCGAGTCAGTGTGTGTTCTGTGCTGGGGTGTTACTGAAAAAGAAGAAATTCATAAATACGTCAATTCTACAACTCAAGTCTCTAAACATTGTTCAGATGACGTCATTTAATCACTTTATGACGTCGTAGACATTACTAGACAATCAATGAAGCCAAATCGTATGTGACGTAACAGAGGTCTGACGGTTTCGGTTGATCTATCAGCATTGAGAATCACTAAACTGCACGTATAACCCGTGAACATCCGGGGTAGCAATGGTGTTCAGTAACCCATGCTTGTCGTAAGAGGCGACTAACGGGATCGGGTGGTCAGGCTGGCTGACTTGGTTGACAGATGTCATCGTATCCCAACTGCGTAGATCGAAGCTCATGATGTTGATCACTGGATTGTCTGGTCCAGACTCGATTATTTACAGACCGCCGCTATATAGCTGGAATATTGCTGAGTGCGGCGTAAAACTAAACTCACTCACTCACTCTAACGATAGTTTGATTGGAGAATGGTGTGTTCAAGTTATATCACGGTATAACAGCTTAATGTTAGAGTGATGGTTTTACGCAGGAGAGTGCGGCGTAAAACAACAAACAAACAAAATAAAACACATGTGCAATATCGGAAAGTTCTAATCTTCACTGAGAGAGAGATACATATGTGCATGTATGTCGATTTGTCAGTTCCGCTTCTTTAGAGCCCTTATGATCTCAGTTTGACCGCCTCCGTGGTGTAATGGTTAGAGCGTCCGCCCGGAGAGCGGAAGGTCGCGGGTTCGATCCCCGACCTCGTCAAACCAAAAGACGTTAAAATATGGCACTTGTTGGTCCCTGCCTGGCGCTCGGCATTAATGGGTACAACAAGGACTGGTCGGCTCGGAGTCAGTATAATGTGTCTGAGTGGGGTATTCATGCTTCACTGCGGCATGGTATCTCAGTGGGTTAGCACTATAAAACCAGCTTATATCTGGGGTAGTACAAGCAGCCGCACATACACATACACACGCATGCATATGAGCGAAATATTCTCAAGCACGACGTTAAACCCAATTTCACCTCACCCCACCTCACCTCACCTCAGTTTGCCTCCAAAAATAGCAAGGGACATAACTCTGATGGAATTGTATATGCTATATACGACATACCACAAGACTAACAATTGACAACACACACACCAAACAAGTGCGTTGCAAATAGTTTCAGAAAATTATGCAACTCAGATCATGGGTCTGCGATCACTGATTATCAAGCCATGCGCGTCCTGTTTCAAGTCGTCACTCGGGATAAATGCGAATCCCCAAACATCGATGTTTGTTAATAAACGCTCACTTGATTCCATATTCAGGGAAACAAACATGTTTCCGTTATACCAACAAGACGATGTAATTCTTAGCTGATTAAACATCATTAAAAGTTCCAGCGCATATCCGATTGCTTTTGGTAAGCGCATTCAGCAATTCACCAAAGGCTGTACTAATTCGATCAAGTTTTGAAACTCTCGGAAACTCAAATCGTTACAGAAAATCGATATACATACACTTGTGTCAATTTCATTATTTTTTATTTTGCTCGACTGAAGCTAGGAGATCGGATGTGATGAAGTTATGTAATATCAAGCACCACAGTGGTCCAAACTTAACGACATTCATTGAACGATGGAACAGAACGCATCGATTTTCACATAACCCAACTTCTAAAAGACCGATTCTTTAGCCAAAGTAAGCAAAATTCATCGCATGGGTAGAAATGAATCAGAAATCTTTGAAGCAACTTCGTCAAGAACCATCGATTTTAGGTTTCGGACGGCAAATGGATGATTGGCCTCGGGTCAGCGCTTGTGCTTGGTAAACGAATTTTGTTGTCGAGCTGATGTAAGCGAGCTATTTCTGGGTCTACTTTAAGGTTAAATTAAACCGAGTGTGCAGGTTTATGTTAAAGTATCCCACCATCAAAGAACGAAGTAGACTTTCCCACGACTGACCAGTGGCGATCTATGTGTTAATACCATTGGTCAGTTTGTTCCGGAGTTGTTTCAGCAGTTAAGCCTATTGATAAAAAACAGACAAGTTAATTTTCTCACGAATTGCACTTTTAGCTCACCTCGGAAAATGATGATATAAAATGGTTTATCTGTTAATGAGATACAGGGATGTGTGGGACGAGCATGGGAAGGTTAAATGTTATCTGTATCAAATCTTGATGCCTCTGCAGCCTGTCTGTCTGTATCTTTCTTCATCCTTGTTGTACCCGTCGGGAAACTAATCATCTGAATCTTCGACTTCTCCAAACAAAAGCAGGTCTTGATCTAAACAAGATGTACTCACTCACACTAAACTTTCAACGCACCCATCACACGTTCAATGCAGTTCATCACATATTCAACGCACTTCATATATCAGCGCTCCCGATCACACATTCAGCGCACCCGATCACACATTCAGCGCACCCGATCACACATTCAACGCACACATCACACATTCGACGTACCTATCACACATTCAACAGATCCGATCACACATTCAACGCACCCATCACACATTCAACGCACACATTCGACGTACCTACACATTCAACAAATCCGATCACACATTCAACGCACCCATCACACATTCAACAGACCCTTCACACATTCAACGCATCCGGTCACACATTCGACGTGCCCATCACACATTCAGCGCAAAACAGGCTCAATGCATCTGCACCCGATCACGCATTCAATGTACCCCATCACAGATTCAAAGTCCATATCACACATTCAACGCATCCCATCACACATACAGGGCACCCATCACACATTCACACATCTAACTCAAAGCATGCTCAATGCATCTGCACCCAATCACACATTCAACGCACCAAATCGCACATTCAGCACAAAACATGCTCAATACATCTGCACCGACTACCCTGTTATTCACTGCCTTTGAAGGCCAAACAAATTCCGATTTTTCTTTCACCGCAACTTTCAGCCTTAACCCAAACACCACTCTTTAAGTACAACCCCCAATGCATGCACTTGATCGACCAATAGCAACACGTCAGCGAGTTGTCGGAGGGTTTAGGGACAGTATGCCCAGCGCAGGAGGTCCACAAACGGCGCACAGGCTCGTAAGCCTCTGCTGTTGTTTGTCGTCCCAACCTCGCCACAAACACAACATACCTGTTGAAAGACTAACTCCTGTTGCTCGGAATCTTGACTGGGGTTGAGTCACTGACTGATGGTCGCATCAGCAGGAGCAGACACGGCGAACTTGCAGGGAATCTTCAGGAAAATGTTAACGCAGTGTAACGACTGAAAAACACCTTCTTTTTGTACAACAGCCGTCTTAAAGGATGGCACGTGTTTGATTCAAGCTGCATCTACTCTTGTCTCGCGCGACTACCAGTTCCAACCTGTAATTAAATATCTTTAAAAGTTTTATTACTTAACGATTTGGGTTGATATTTATCAATGAATGTTTTGCTTCAGTACAGTTGGTAAATAACACGACTTTTCAAATTGAAATTAACTCGTTCCTCTTGCCTTGCAGTCAGTGAAAGATGAGGATGAAAGATACGCTGTCTTCGTTGGGGGTCCTCGTGATGCTGCAGATCTCCCAGACAATGGGTATGTGCTTTCAAAATGCTAATATGTTTTTATTCACGTTATATTATTTTCAAAAGCTACATCTTCCAACGCAAGATCACAATGTAAACATAGGGATGCCCTGTACAGTGTTATTATTAAAGAAAGTGATGACTCGGCAAACATCATTGCTGATTCATGCATGTGCAGTTTCCTCGTTATTGTAACTCTTATTGAGGATGTTTGAGCACCTTACTACAATACTGTACAGTGTTTATTTCTAAAGGAAAATGTGTTGATAGACCGGTTAGGCTTCACCATAAACATCTTATGGCTGATGTTTTGTTTTATGTACGCTTTCAAAAGAGAGGAAATAATTCCTGATCACCTTGCAAAATTATTCAAATGAGGAAGGTGACAAGAATATGGTTGAAAGAATGTTTGATTACAAATCCGTTTCTGACTATTGTTAGGGGGACATAATCAGTTGTTTTCGGGCTTTTTTCTTTTATGGTAACTAATAAAGTTGTTTTGTTGTTTTATGATACCTGGTAAAGTTGTTTTGTTGTTTTATGGTAACTGGTAAAGTTGTTTTTTTGTTTTATGGTAACTAGTAAAGTTGTTTTGTTGTTTTATGGTAACTGGTAAAGTTGTTTTGTTGTTTTATGGTAACTGGTAAAGTTGTTTTGTTGTTTTATGGTAACTGGTAAAGTTGTTTTGTTGTTTTATGGTAACTAGTAAAGTTGTTTTGTTGTTTTATGGTAACTAGTAAAGTTGTTTTGTTGTTTTATGGTAACTGGTAAAGTTGTTTTGTTGTTTTATGATAAGTGGTAAAGTTGTTTTGTTGTTTTATTATACCTGGTAAAGTTGTTTTGTTGTTTTATGATAACTGGTAAAGTTGTTTTGTTGTTTTATTATACCTGGTAAAGTTGTTTTGTTGTTTTATGATAACTGGTAAAGTTGTTTTGTTGTTTTATGATAACTGGTAAAGCTGTTTTTTTGTTTTATGATAAGTGGTAAAGTTGTTTTTCCAACACCTGGTGTCATCACTACTTAATAGTGATTCACAACCACATGCATATGATATAATGGAAATCGCTCAGTTGATGTCGTATGAAGATAAAGAGGGTGGTGTCGATTTTATGTGCCTAATACAATGTCATGTCAAATGTTTAATGAAAGTGACGGCACCATCGAACCTCCACAGGTTATATTTTAATACTTCGCAATTTCGGTGACGCGGGCAGCGATATTCACACCCTTGTTAATATAGTTCATATTTTACAGCCTCGTTAATAAAGACAGCGCCATTGTGGATTTCCGATTATATTCGTCGAATGTTTCTTACAGATAAACTGAAATGACCGACCGAGTTTGGTTTTACGCCGCTTTTAGCAATATTCCAGCAATATCACGGCGGGGGACACCAGAAATGGGCTTAACACATTGTGCCCATGTGGGGAATCGAACCCGGGTCTTCGGCGTGGCGAGCCAACGCTTTAACCACTAGGCTACCCCATCGCCCTAAACTGAAATGAAGTTTACTGAGTGTGAACCGCCAATTGTTTGTGTCAGGAGGGGTATTCTGTTAGGTCTTGCTAATATGGATAGGTATGTTCGTTTTAGAGAGCATTTTTTTACAGAAGTCCACAGATTTGGACAAGTTTGTGAAACGGTGATTATACCACCGCCACTGATCCTTATTAACGCCGACATATGCTCTTAAGAAAAAGTAAGGGAACTTATTTTTAATTTATGATTGAAAAATTTTGGAGATATATCTGAGTCAATCAATGTTGATATGATAATAATGAATGTTTTGATAGTGCATCAGCACCCGCACTTCCTTATGACCATAGTTGCTTGTAGAGTAATCGCTCTTGAAAGATGATTGGTGTATGACGTGGAATTTTGCATGTGTACGATTTTCACTTTCAAACAAAAAGCCCGGATAGAAACAAACACTATCAACTGTGTGATGCAAGATGATTGTCCAAATTAATGGTCTACGGTGATTAATCGACCTTCTTGAAAACCGTCAAAATCAAGAATGACACCCCATGCACGTGTATGGGGCTGCTGCGTCGTGCACGGGCATCCCATACGTTGTGTTTAGGGGTGGTGATAAAGAGAAATAGTGGTACGTTTATAAAATGTATGACTTTGAAAAGGTTGTTAACGCTTATACTTCCTATCCAAATTGAAAGGTCAGGTTCTCCTACCCTTTTTAAGAGTATACTGTGAATGTATCTGTGAAATATGTTTATGATATTCGTTCAAAGGTCTTGACAGGCATCTAGAAGTTGGACGAACATGAATAAATGACACGTTTCATGGACAACAACTTCTATTTATACTTTATACGACGTTTCAGAGCTAATTATTGCTTCTTCATCAAGTGAATGCTGAGTCAGTGCACAGAGTTAATGTATATATAGATAGAACATGTTTACACAAAGCAAGGTGGGAGAATGTACAAAAATAGCAATATAATGACAAAACAAGAGGGGGAAGGGGCTTAATATACAAGGATAACAATATTTACGAAGCCAATTAGATGCGTTTAATGTACAAAGGCGAAAACAATGAGATTAAAGGTATAACAGTGTAAGAGGAAGCCATGAATTAGCTCTAGAACGTCGTTTAGAGAAAAAAAGGAAGTTCTTATTCATAGTATTGATATCCCTTCGATTACCATATATCAATAGTTAAGGAACTTCTTTCTCTGTGAATCCGCAGTAAATGTATCTCTACACATGACGTCAATGACGGATGCATATCATCTTAACTGGAAAGATGATTATCATTGAAGAGATAACTGAAAATGATAATTAAAATCATCATATTTTATACCACTGGTGTCTCTCGTGGTATATAAAAGGCCTGCAAATACCAATTAACTGAAACTCCTTTCCCATAAGCACAACACTTATCTTGAATCCACTGTTTAATATTTTTGTTACAGGTTATATCAGAAAACAATCCACGCAATCAATATTGTTGAAGGGTTATTTTCGTGCTTAGACTATATTTTAAAGTAAATATTATTCAAACGGATTTTTCTGTAACGCGAATGGAACTTGTTTAATTTTGTTATGAAAACATTTTGTATTATTTTTCAAAACGATTTTCGATTGTTACAGGTGCTATAGTACTAACGGTATCTCCCTACCCCGCCCGGGTCTACCAGAACGCTCCCCCTGGCACCCCCGTCCTTAACGTCACCGCCTACGACGACGTCACAGGGGCAGCGATGGAGAGGATGTACCTTTCTCCCGGTGTCAATTCAAGTTGCTTCAAAGTGGACGTCTCGACTGGGATACTATCCGTTAACAAGACTGTCCAATGGACAGTGGGAACAGTTTTGACCTTCTTTGTCTACGCAGGTCAAAGAAGCGAGCTGAACTTCAAACACGTGATGATAATCGTGTCGGTCAAGAACCGATATGCTCCAACGTTCACGGCGAGTAAGAATGACTTCAGAATCTACAGGTATGCTGCCGGTAAACGGGTTGGGTCTGTGATGGCCAACGATCGAGATCCAGAACAGTATAACCACATCTTCAAGTATTCTATCCCTGATGAGCGGGCGGACACGTATTTGAAGATTTCAAGCAATGGGGACATAACTCTGAAGTCGCCACCCCCTGCCAGTATACGAGAGTTATCCTTCCCTGTTATTGCTGCCGACGAAGGGTCGCCCCGTCTGACCGGGACATCAATGATTCAGGTGTCTCTCATTGACGTCGAACGTGAGTACTTCCGTCAACCGTCGGAGTGTGATGTGTATGTACTGTACAGTTAACATAAGCCAGATGTATATGTACCGTACAGCTGACATGATCATGATGTATATGACGGTGCAGTTAACATTGGTCTGGTCTATATATACCGTACAATTAACATGATCATTGGTCTGGTCTATATACCGTACAATTAACATGATAATGGGTCTGGTCTATATATAACGTACAATTAACATGATCATTGGTCTGGTCTATATACCGTACAATTAACATGATCATGGGTCTGGTCTATATATAACGTACAATTAACATGATCATTGGTCTGGTCTATATATACCGTACAATTAACATGATCAGCATCTGGTCTATATATAACGTACAATTAACATTGCACCATCCATATCATTGGTAATTAACATCATATATATACCGTACAATTAACATGATCATGGGTCTGATCTATATATACCGTACAATTAACATGATCATGGGTCTGGTCTATATATACCGTACAATTAACATGATCATGATGCATATGTACCGTACAGTTAACATTAGCATCATCCATATGTACCGTACAGTTAACATTAGCATCATCCATATGTACCGTACAGTTAACATTAGCATCATCCATATGTACCGTACAGTTAACATTAACATCATCCATAAGTAACGTACAGTTAACATGATCATGATGTATATGTACCGTACAGTTAACATTAGCATCATCCATATGTACCGTACAGTTAACATTAGCATCATCCATATGTACCGTACAGTTAACATTAGCATCATCCATATGTACCGTACAGTTAACATTAGCATCATCCATATGTACCGTACAGTTAACATTAGCACCATCCATATGTACCGTACAGTTAACATTAGCATCATCCATATGTACCGTACAGTTAACATTAGCATCATCCATATGTACCGTACAGTTAACATTAGCATCATCCATAAGTAACGTACAGTTAACATTAGCATCATCCATATGTACCATACAGTTAACATTAACATCATCCATATGTACCGTACTATTAAAATGAACCTGATGTATATGTATCGTACCGTTATATGACAGTGAGTGAGTATAGTTTTACGCCGCGTTTAGCACTATTCCAGCAATATCATGGCGGGGGACACCAGATATGGGCATCACATGCGGGGAATCGAATACCGTCCTTCGGCGTGACGAGCGAACGCTTTAACCACTAGGCTACCCCGTCGCCCCGAGTTATATAACTTATGTCACTTTGACCTTTGATAAAGGCATCGTGTATGCATGTACTCAGTATTTTACGAAAACGTAATGCTGCCACTTTTGTAGCACAAATATATTTTTCTACTACAATTCTTGTTGCTTCCATTATTTACTTGTTACTTTGAGTATTTTCTCGTTATTTCAATAATTTCCTCGTTACTTCGAGTATCTTTCGAAACTTGAAATTTCGAGCATTTACTCGTTGCTTCGAGTATTTTCTCGTAACCTCAATTATTTTTTCGTTGCTTCGATTAATTTCTCGTTGCTTCAAGTTTCTTTCAAAAACTTGAAATTTAAATATTTTCTCGTTACTTCAAGTCTCTGTCAAAATCTTGAAATTTCGAGTATTTACTCGTTGCTTCCAGTATTTTCTCGTTACTTCATTTATTTTTCGTTGCTTCGAGTATTTTCTCGTTACTTCAATTATTTTCTCGTTGCTTGGTAACATTCAATGGGTATCAGCTTGATATTTGCCATGGAACGCTAAAGACCAAACAAATATGAGAACAGGGATTCATATGACTGTGGTCCGAGGACTTGTGACATGTTGAGAATGAGGCAAAGGGCCCCGCTTCGAGCAACGTGATCGTTCAAATTACTTCAATCTGAGTCTTCATAAAGAGGTTTTAGGTAGATATAACTAGATATATGTACAATTCAGGATACATGTATGATGTTTAAGTTGTTTTTGATGGCCCAGGACAAGTCAGAGACTTAACACTTTTAATAGAGGCTGGATATGTTGGGAAGAAGGAAACGAGCTTCACTTTAAAGGACCAGTTATCCGTACATGTGGCATTTTGTAACATTGAAAATGATATTTAGGTACATATAATACTAGTCTATGGATTTAAACAAAATTCAAGATACATATGTGAGATCTATGCTGCTTTTGACGGCCCGGGACAAACAGAACCGAACAATTGTCACAGTGTGGGGAAAAGATCGTATCATTTATCTGTGGGCATGCTTTAAACACGATGAACAGTGAACTTCTGAGGTAGTGTTTTTAAAAACCTTTCCAGGACGACAGAAATGTATATCGGGATTGACTGAAGTATTTACACGTTTTGAATCCTGTTTCGTTTAACGACTTCTCTTTTAGACGTAACCTTGCTTAGTCACTTTCACAGGCCACTCGTCTTCCTGAGTTTTAAGCGATTTACTCGTAATAGGTTATTATGACACACGTGTGTGGCTTCCTGCTGCCCATATTGTCGTGGGTGTAAGCTGGATTAATTAATTGTAGACATGGTTTTCGATAATCAGTGTAGTAGCCAATTATATACTTGGCCCTCTTTGACCCGGCTCTGGTTTTAGGACGTCCCCTTCTCGTTGTTTCGAGTTTTTTTCAGAAACTTGAAGTAACGAGAAAATACTCGAAGCAACGGGTAAATACTTGAAATTTCAAGTTTTTGAAATATACTTGAAGCAAGGAGAAATTAATCGAAGCAACGAAAAAATAATTGAAATAATGAGAAGATATTCGAAGCAACGAGTCAATTATCGAAATTTCATGTTTTTGAGAGAAACTTGAAGCAACGAGAAATTAATCGAAGCAACGAAAAAATCATTGAAGTAACGAGAAAATACTCGAAACAACAAGTAAATACTCGAAGTTTCAAGTTTTTGACAGAAACTTGAAGTAACGAGAAAAGAACTCGAAGTAACGAGAAAATTATTGAAGTAACGAGAAAATACTCGAAGTAACGAGAGTTGTAGCAGAAAAAAATATTTGTGTTACAAAAGTGGCAGCAATAGGCTTCCGTAGTATTTCGACCATTTCAAAGTAATGAATGAAAACGACATTCTCTCTTCTAAGTCGTGTATTTCTTCTACAGCATTACGTGTATACCGGTATATGATCATTTGAAAAGTTGCAAAAGCGACGTAAATCTACACTCACTAACTCACTCTTCATACTCAGTTCATTGTAGTTTGTGTCAAGTAGACTGAATCAACAGTACATATCCGACTTTTAATCACTATTCCAGATCCTTCGGTGTTCTGCTTCGCGACGGAAGTATCCGACATCACATTGTGCTGGAAGAACCCCATGGTAGGACGACCGGAAGTGACGGGCTTTGAGGTGGAAGTGACGGGTTCGACGAATCAGATGTACCAGGTCCCGGCAAAGGTCACTGATGCGGAAATATGTGACGTGATCACAGATACGCAGATCGGAAAACTCTACTACTTCCGGGTGTCTATTAAAACTACTTCCGGTTCCGGCGGCACCAATTATATGAAGGTCATGATCAACAACACTGGAATAGGTAATATATTCACTTTAATTTAATATTACTGTTATATTGTAATACCAGTATTGACAGATACTTCACAATAGTGGAACATGATATATATAATACAGAAAAAATAAACTGTTTAAAGCAATGTTTTACACAATACTGATATTGGTAAACAACTTGATAAATACTTCACTACTGCAAGGTAAATATACGCATGCCAATAATGGTTGTCACCCCCAATTTTTTTAATTGGAGAGGGGGGGGGGGGTTGGGTGGAGGGGGTGAAAACCATTATTGGCATGAGTATACGATTGAAATCGGTAAATATGTCACTAAAACAAAATAAATATTATGTGTTTGAGTAACTTATAAATACGCTAACCGTTACGTGGTTTTAACAATACAATACTTTTTAACGTTTTACTAATGTTAGAAATTGTTCACTACTGTTCACGTTAAATACTTCACAACGATATAAGGTGATAATACTACTTACAACCTATGAAATAACTATAAAAGGTTAATGCCTTACTACCTCTGTAATGCTTTACTATCTCTGTAAAATGTAATTACTTCACTACGATTTGAAATTATGTATTACTTTAAAGACACATACGTCACTAGGATATGAAATTATCCATTAGGGAAAGGTAATTACTCCACATTTTAATGAAATAAATAATTATACAGTATTGATAAAGGTGAATACTCTATGACCACAGGACAATATGTCATAAAGTTAAAGGAAATTAATCCATACCCATGTGAAATTTTAAAATACCGACAAATGTACATATTCTACTACAAAGTGAAAAACAACAAGTTATATGTACTTCAACACAAGACGCAGGTCATTACAACAAGCTGGACACAATTATCCCGGAAGTTATGAGAATACACGGAAATAAGAACAGTATGGCATTAGCATGTTAATGGATTCAGTTTAACACAGTCTGACGTGATATTATCCAAGTCCTTGGTTAAAGTGTTGAATCCAATAAAATATTGATGAATAAATTATCTATCGTTATATTAATAATAAAAGTATAATAGAAATGAAGAATGCATCCCGTACTACTGTTGTGTATTATTTGAACCGTTATCATTACAAGATTGTTGATTAGGTTTCGCATACTTTATCACTGATTGGATGTTTGTTGAGGGTGGATTATTATCAACTACAAAGTACAACACTAACGCATGAAATTGTTTCTTTTAGTCTATTCAAACGTTTCGCGAAAATCGATTTGATAAAGGCACTCTGTCCACACAATCCTGTCGCACTTGAAGATCCGGGTCGAATTGTTCTCCAGCAACCCATGCTTGACGTAAGGGACTACTAACAGGATCGGGGTGGGGGTTGGGGTGTCAGGCTCGCTAACTTGGTTGACACATGTTATCGTATCTTATTGTGTCAGGCACTGTATTGCCTGGTCCAATCTTGATAATTAGCATGCATGCAGTCGGGATGCTGCTCGGCGCTGATGGTACATCTAACGAATATTTCATGGCGAGAATCTATCTCACGTTTGTTTTTTTCAGGGTTTACTCATCAGTGTCTCCATAACGACTTCGATGCCTGCAAGTATCTGAAGCCATGCCGAAATAGCGCGGTCTGTAGACGTCACGAAGACGGCGCTTTGAACTACCAATGTGATTGTACGAAAGGCTGGCGGGGCAAGAACTGCACCTCCAAGACATGTGCGCTCAAGACCCTTGTCAAAACACAGGAACCTGCAACTTTCTCAGTCACCAACGGTATTCTTGTTCTTGCGTCGACGACTTCTACGGCCCCCGTTGTCAATATTTCAACGCATGCAGTATCCTTCCTTGTCAAAACAACGGCGTTTGCTCCATGGATACAACCGGAAGATACACCTGCGCATGCCCCGACCACTTCACGGGTAAAAACTGTGAACTTAAAGACCCCTGCAATCCATCACCCTGTACAAACGGGGGAACATGTTCTAGGGTCACTGACGACGAGTTTCACTGCGCATGCACCTCTGGTTACTACGGCCACACATGCAGCGAGTTAAATCTTTGTATTTCGCAACAACCTTGCAAAAATAACGGGACTTGTGAACACGTCGGGGACAGCAACTTCCGGTGTCACTGCACGGAGCGATTCATGGGAAAGCAATGTTTGGAGTTCGACCCCTGCTCCCAGTCGCCTTGCCAGAACACAGGTACATGTGTACTGACAGAAACCGGTGCCTACAACTGCGAATGTATTCCTGGTTTCTACGGTGGTGAGTGCCAACACTTCGACACCTGCCATCTCATGGACTGCGGTTCCGGAACCTGCACAGAAAATGCAGACGGTGCGAAATGCATGTGTGACCCTGGTCACTATGGTGACCATTGTGAGTTTTATAACCCATGTGACGGAGAAAATCCCTGCGGATTAAGAGGTACTTGCAGGAACGTATCAAACAGCACGTACGAGTGTGATTGTATAGATGAGTGGTACGGCCTTCAATGCCAATACCTCAACAGCTGCAGACTTGTGAATTGTGAAAACGGAGGATATTGTGAAAATTTTGCTTTTCTAAAGAAAGGAAACTTCACCTGTAAATGCCTCAACGGTTTCTATGGAGACACGTGTTCATTTTACAACCCATGCGTGTCTTCCCCTTGTCGTCATGGTGATTGCACGAATACAACGTCTAATGAATACATCTGCAACTGCGACGACGGATACTACGGTAATGACTGCGAAATTGAAAATCCCTGTAAGGAAGAGACGTGTAAAAATGGAGGAACTTGTCTCAATACAACAGACACGGAGTTCATGTGTTTGTGTACTTCCGGTTTCGTGGGGACCAACTGTGAACTGCCAGACCCGTGTGAAACCCCGTGTGCCAATTCTGGAACGTGTACGGTAGACCCTGGTTCCTTTGGGAAGGTGTGTCACTGTCCGGAGAAGTACACCGGTGCCAACTGCGACGCCGCCATTCCTGAGTGTAGCATGACCGGATGTCAACATGATGGTACATGTGTTGCCAGTGCAGGCGTGTGTGCATGTACAACGGAATACACAGGTAAGGCAGATCGCACCTGGGTAACACGACTGTCAATGCTTTATCAGTGAGTGAGTGAGTGAACGAGAGAGTGAGTGCAGTGAGTGAACGAACTAGCAATAAACGTTTACAAATGAATGGCAATATACATGCTGCTATTTCGGTACAAGTACATCAGAACTGTAGGACGCTATGGCTCTGTGCCACAAAGCGATCTTAGCTGTAAGGGGGCGGTGGGGTAGCCTAGTGGTTAAAGCGTTTGCTCGTCACGCCGAAGACCCAGGTTCGAGTCCCCACATGGGTACAATGTGTGAAGCCCATTTCTGGTGTCCCCGCCGTGATATTGCTGGAATATTGCTAAAAGCGGCGTAAAACCAAACTCACTCACTCACTCTTAGCTGTAAGACGATCGTAACACCTATGCTTAACATAGGCTTACGATAGTGGCGCTAAGAGACTGACAGTTGAACATATTATTAAAACGACGGAGGCTTGTAAAACATGAACAAGTGTTATTTGTGTAGTGTGCATAATTCTTGAAGCCGGAGGCCTATGGTGAGTACATATACTGGGGTGAGTTTCGGCCACAATGTGAAAACGAGCTAGACTTGTTTTGACCTGCTCAAATGATAGAGGAAGGTTTCGTGATGGAATGCTAGAGCGACAAAACGCGAATCGGTGAAACTAAAGGCACAACGCAGAGATGTTTCAAATAGTGATGCTCTAATTTGCTCAAGAACCTGTTCAATGTGACATACGGAAATAATCACACTATAACGTATTGCTGAAGCAGAAGCCTCATTTCACATTGACTGGGATCCGTCTTAGCAATCTTAGCACAACGGGTGATATGACTGGTCACCGTTCCACTGAGCAATATTATCGCTACGACCAACATAACTGGTTATCTTTCCGCAAAGCGGTCTTAATGCTAAGCCTGTCTTAATTACTCACCGTCCCAAAGGGCAACCTTAGCGCTAAGTCTGTCGTAGCTGGTTAGTGTTTCATAAAGCAATCTAATATTTAGTGCTACGAGTGTTTTATCTGGTACCATTCCACAAGGCGTCTTAGTACTACGATTATCCCACGTCAACGCGTATGTTGAAGTAAGGGGAGAACGATCGTATGAACGCTAAGATCGCTTTGTGAAACCAGCTCAAGGACAACATTTCTGGTTTCCAGCCATAATATTGCCTGGATATTGCTAAAAGCGGCGTAAAACTAAACTCACTCACTCCATGACCCCTTCTACAAGACATCTCAGAGCTATCATACGTCTTTGTTAAAGTATGGGTGTTGGATAGTCTTAACGCTAAGATACATTCGCGAAACCGGTCCCTTGTAAATGTGTTGATCCTGAAACTGACACGCTTTTAGTGCCTGCTGTCTGCACCCTGTTAATACAAAAGACGAGATGACAAATACTACTATCAAGCCAACAAATCTGCTTCATCAACATCAGAGCATCCTTGGGTGACCCCAGTGTCTTTACGCGTAACTCATGCCGCCATGCATTCCAGACTCCATATACTCCAGAAGATAAGGTATATGTTATCATACAGTATATGCGTGTATATTGTTTCTGCGATATGAAATACATGGCAGGATATGACGTCACTGCACCTGCTGCTCTGGCACCAGGGACTATTTTTCTGGCGCACCTAACTCCCTTGTTTACATGTTACATAATATCTCTAACAACTAATCTCGAAAACACTTGCTGGCTCATGAAAAAGACATAAGTTTAAGTTGAGCATAAAATGAGTGTTTAACGAATGTAACACCCTTTTGCAAAAAAGCAACCGTTTGAATTAATTACTCAAGACATTATTCACATGATTGGAAGTGATAAACAATTAACCCTACGAACGTGTAACATTTTTTATATGACTAGTTGTTAAACATGTTGTATTACTTTACTGATATTCTGTGCTCTTCCTCAGAGGGGTTGGTGGGTTAGCCTGGTTCGCTCAGTCACGCCGATGACCCGGGTTCGATTCCCCACATGGGTATAATGTGTGAAGCCCATTTCTGGTATGAAATGTGATATTGCTGGAATATTGCTAAAAGCGGCGTAAAACTGAACTCACTCGCTCACTGGAGACTTTTTCAAAAGTCAACAGTTTCGTTTCGTTACAGTATGACATTAGGTTACTGGGTTATTGAGTTTCTTTGTGACTGGATGTTGTTTGACGCCGCAGGGCCAGCGTAGCAGTGATAACAGGAGCGAAGTTTGACGAAAACGATGACGCACAAGGAACCAAATCACAGCGTGTTCATTTCTTTTCTATTCTCTACCTCTTTACTGACAATCGTATCCCTTAAGGCCCAACGTGGGCTGCATTAGTCTGTCTGGATGCAGTCTGTTATTTGGTATATTTCGAAGCGGCTGAGGAGGAAATTATTCCCACAGGACATAATGACAAGTGACATTTCTCAAATAGTAACCAGCCTCGTCCTCGGAGCTAAGCCATGGAGAAAATTACTCCATGAATAATGAATTTAGGGATCCTATTCTACTGCACGTATTAGATTCGCTGCTTATAACAAATGTTCGCGGTGAGTGAGTTTAGTTTTACGCCGCATTTAGCAATATTCCAGCAATATCACGGCGGTGGACACCAGAAATGGGCTTCACATATTGTACCCATGTGAGGAATCGAACCTGGATTTCGGCGAACGCTTTCATAGAATTCAGTTCCACTAAAAACGTTTTTGCAGAATTAAAATTATACAAACATATATGCAGATAACTAGCTTCGGCTAAAACTTCGGCAGGATGCAGCTTTCTATCCCCCATGTTTGTCGGAAGAGCCGACTAACGGGATCGGATGGTCAGGTGTGCTTAAAAAGAAAAGAGACACTATCTCAACTTGTTTATCGACTTCCGACGATGTTTGTACATAAACACGTAATGCCATAAACAAGATGATATCTATTCCTTGAACATTGGCCAGGGATGCGGAATGGCGCAGAGTGTGAGAGACTCGCTTCATTACATTTCTGCTAAACCATGAAGATAAGGTTAGAATTGGTCCTCCGCAACCCATGCTTTGATATAACTGGCAGCAGAGCCCTGAGAGATTGTTCTTGACGTTACTTCAGTATAAGGGGCGGTGGCGTAGCCTAGTGGTTAAAGCGATCGTTCGTCACGCCGAACACCCGGGTTTGATTCCCAAGATGGGTACAATGTATGAAACCCATTATGGTGACAAACACCCCCACCCCACCCCACCGACTCCCCACTGTTGCTGAAATATTGCTAAAACGGCGTAAAACCATACTGACTCACTCACTCACTACTTCAGTATAAAGCCCCTTAAGTGGACTATATGATGCGGAATGATTCAGAGTGTGAGAGACTCCCCTCTAATTATATTTCCGCGTTAGAATCTGTCTTCAGCAACGCTTGCTTGTCGTAAGGCGTTACAAACGAGATCCGGTGGTCAGGCTCGTTGACTTGGTTGACACATGTCATCGTATCCCAATTGCGTGAACTATAAACTTGACCTTAATCACTGGATTGTCTGGTCCAGACTAGATTAATCTCAGATCGCCGTTAACTGAACATTGCTGATTTCGGCGTTGAACAACATACAAAGTGGAAACACAAGTATATTGCTTTCGGGCTTGTTAGTCTGAACTTCGTTAATCCGGATGAGCTTCTCTGCATGATCGAGTTTCTCTATGTACTAATGCGTGTCCTTCTTTGACAGGTTCCCTTTGTGAGATGCGCGTGACGCCCTGCACAAGCAATCCGTGCTCTGATGACAGACGGTGCGTGGAGGTGGGTGACAGTTACACTTGCGTCTGCAAGAACGGCGCCGACAACGACGACTGCATAGAAGGTAACTCCACCGTGCCTGTACGTCATTCACACGAAATTATGGCCTCAGAAATAACTATTTTATGCACACTGCGGCTGGCTGTAATCGTAACTCCAATTACCAAGATTTTATGTCCAGTTCCAAATATAACGCAGGGACGCAAGACAAACCTAGTCTTCTATGTCTGCAAAGTTTCTCCGACTTCACACATTGTACCCATGTGGGGAATCGAGTCCGGGCCTTCCGCGTGACGAGCGAACGCTTTAACCACTAGGCTACCCCACAGCCCCTCCTTCAAACTGCCCACAGTGGATTATAGTAAGGACCTGTGTGAAGTCCATTTCTGTTGTCCCCCGCCGTGATATTGCTTAAATATTGCTAAAAGCGGCGTAAAACTAAAATCACTCACTCCTAAGTATAACGAGTGAGCGAGTGCGTTTAGTTTTACGCCGCTTTTAGCAATATTACAGCAATATCACGGCGGGGGACACCAGAAATGGGCTTCACGCATTGTAACCATGTGGGAATCGAACCCAGATCTTCGGTGTGACGAGCGAACGCGGTAACCACAAGGCTACCCCACCGCCCCTATAGTTCGGACCACATGTATTCATGTCGGATCCAAAGTATGTTCGGTTACCACATAGAGTGGTTTTTTTTAAAACATTTCATTTTTTCTTATATTCTTAATGAAAGAGTTTACCGTTACTATATGATCAATAACTATGTAAAATGATAGGAAGCCGCCACCACACGTGACGAGCGAACGCTTCAACCGCTGGGCTACCTCAATAACACCTTAGGTATTCGTTACTGTGTCCTGGTCTGATTCACCGTAGGTAGCACATCATCTTCACCGGCTGTGGTTATCTAGACTTGCCACATATTCTAGATTTATTATTATTATTATTATATGATATTTATATAGCGCACATATCCAGGCAACTAGTGCTTGCTCAAGGCGCTGGTATTTTTTCCCTCGATCATTGGATGTCAGTCTCAACGGCACATCGTGTTATCAATCTCAACTCCCTGGGGATCATACAACTCTTGCAGCGCACCGAGTTATTGTGGCCTTCTCATCCTAACGAGGCATGGGCCTTCTTCGATATAATTCGTCTGAAAACCAGAGTGTTCTAAGTCCACTTTTGACAAAATTACAGTTAGTATGATCGGGGTAGGTTTTAGAGCATAATCTATTACTCTAGCAACTTTTTACAGTGCTATCTAGCTTTGAAAGTGTTTTTTTCAAACACAAACTCTGTTCTATTTCCATGAAAAATCACATGTTGTTAGTTTTCGAGGGTTTTAAGTTGTCAATTGACCAATTACCAAGCACAATTTGATCACGTGACATTGAGAGTTACCAATTTTGAAGTGATTTTCATCATGGAAATTGAACATTTTAACTCCGTTCTTATTTTGGCTTTAATTCATTAGATATAGTCCATATGAAAGAGGTTTAAACGACAAAATACAACTTGGTAAAAAAGAAATAACACTTTGGTTTTGAGAAAAATTACGATGTCTTTGGTCAAGTTTTCTATCTCCAATCATTTTTCGTGAATTTTTTATATACTTCAATAGATTGAGCATATCATTTGCTATTTTCTTATACTGTTTAATATGTCACATGTATGTGCAAAAATTGAAAGAATTCGATTGAATAGTTTCGAAGATATTGTTGTCCTAAACTTCAAGATCGAATTTCTCGAAAATAGTTTTTTGTGACTTGGTACACTCAGGTCGATATTTGTTTCTGGGTCTGTATGACAGACCGGTCTCTATTTGGAGTGTTATGTTTAAATAAGGTTCTGCAGTTACTGGACTAAATATTAGTCAAGCGTATCACTATGTTGCGTGAGGTAATGGTACAACGGGTTGTATGTTACTAACAAATCTGCTTATAAACACACTCACCAACAGAAGACCGTTGTACCATTATCACGTAAAGTGTAGTCACCATTCTGTTAATATCACCGAACGATATCAAAGGATATCAGTGAACAGGCAGACCAGTTTTATGGTCTCGCGACAAGAACAATAAACACTAGTTGTAACGACATACGTTTCTGTTTGGCGTTATAAAGAGGAGATACGATATAGCCTGGTCTTGATATCTCATAACAGAAAAGCGGCTTCCAGCTCTACCTTCGAGTTTATATTGTGAATCAAGCTTCACTACTACAATCCGACTGCACATGCGCTTTACTGCGATCATGTGGCGTTATAGCGAGGATTTGTAGTTCATGGTACCTCATGAGGTGATGAAGCGCACCCTGTTCAACAGAAGCCATCCGGGTAAGATGAGGTCAACATGATAGAGGAGTAGCAAAATACCTGTGTTCGGCATGTGTGTGAAATGCCACCACAGTTCGGCATATGTCGGGGAAATACCACCAGAGTTCAGCATATGTCAGCAGCTGGGAATACTAGTCCTGTCAAATAATGTGAAATGTACACCTTTGATATGATTGACAGCAGAGCCTCAACAGATTGCTCTTGGTGTTACTTCAGTATAAAGCCCCACCTGGCCTTGTTCCTCGCATCTTAAGTGAACAATAGGGTGGCCCAGTGGTTAAAGCGTTCGCTCATTATCAGAAGACCAGGGTTCGGTTCTATATAGGCGGTAGCTAGTACTTAATGCTGCTGTACTATTGGGAACATCTACATTGCAGTAAATATTTTCACAGAGTTCTATTAAAACGAAACCCGTGAAAATCCGGATTAGAATCGGTCTCCAGCAATCTCTGCTTCTCGTAAGAGGCGACTAACTGGATCGGGTGATCAAACTTACCGACTTGGTTGACACATGTAATCATATCCAATTGCGTAGATCGATGCTCATGATGTCAATCACTGGATTGTCTGGTCCAGACTCGATTACAGGACGCCGTCATATAGCCGGAATATTGCTTAGTGTGGTGTTATACAAGCAAATAAATACACACTACAACCATTTTGTCCTCAATCACGTATAAAACCATACAGCGAAAACCTTTTCACCTACCTTCAAGGAAGGAGCGGTGGGGTAGCCTTGTGGTTAAAGCGTTCGCTCGTCACACCGAAGACCCGGGTTCGATTCCCCACATGGGTATGTGTGAAGCCCCCAGTGTCCCCCGCCGTGATATTGCTGGAATATTGCTGAAAGCGGCGTGAAACCAAACTCACTCACTCAAATGAGTAAATTTTACCTTTAACGTCTTTGCATCCATTATTAATTATTTTTTAAATGAACGCAATTTGCAGCATTGATCCAGTGGGTTTGTCCCACGATCAAAAAATGAAATAGATTTTATATCTCGATGTTAAAATACGTAACGAGTGGAAAGTCATTGTGCTGTTTCATCATCGTTCTGAAGCTCAGATGCTTTGTCATGGTAATGTCAACAAAGTGAATCAATACAGTTGCACAAACAGAAGAATTTTAAACACATACGTTCAAGGTTTACTCGAACGTATACACGTGCTCGGTATTTCATGCAAGGCTTTGACAATCAATCAAAGGTTGGAAACAATTGCTAAGAAATGTGCCGAATCAATTTGCTTTGAACTTGGGTGAAAACACTGCAACGTTTTGAATAAATACCTTCTTATGAAAAATACTTAACGGAACGAAGTAGAGAAACATTTTATTCATTGCGTTACGCACCTCAGACTGACGACGAACATTGATTAAGATTTAAAGATATAACGTTACATTTTCCTATAGGGTGATGATTATGACGATGATGATAGTGTTGATAATGATGGCGATAATGATGATGATGGTGGTGGTGACAATGATGATGATGATGATGATGATGATGATGATGATGGTTGTGGTGATGTGACGATGATGGTGGTGATGGCGACGACGGTAACGGTAACGACGGTGGTTGTGGCGATGATGATGATGATCGTTGTGGTGATGGTGACGACGACGATTGTGCTGGCGATGATGATGATGATGATGATGATGATGATGCCGAATCCACCCACTGTTGCATGTTCACGTCGCCACACGAAAGGGATATTGGTCAGGAAAATATTTGTAGTGGAGCTTGAAGAGATGGGTTTTAAGATGAAGGATGTTTTAGTCTCAGTTTAGGGCGAGACGTGACGAGACTGCGTGTATAATGCTTCTTCAAAGTGAGACGTTTTTGTTTCAAAGACGTCCTGGTCGTCGGAGCGTCTCTGGTGGGTGTAACAGGGGAAGGGTCGGGTGATCTCTGATCATCCTCCCTTGCAAACCTCGATATTAAATCACGATGAGGGTTATTTTGAACTTCTACTAGTCACAGTAAAGCCTCCAGAGCTGATTTGTGCGGAACGTAAAAGTAGTTCTCCGTATATTGAGTCTGTCATCTTATATCTACATGTCTGGCTCGACAATCAGAAAGTGCTATACTCTTCTTTTAAGTAGTGACAGCTTGCTTTGAACATATGAACTGTCTTCTGTTATTGGTTTACATTTACCCCAAACCTTGAATAATTGGGCGGTTCTTTCAGTGACTCATGCAAATTCGGGGCGTTGGGGTAGCCTAATGGTTAAAGCCTCTTCTCGTCACAACGAAGACCCGGGTTCGATTCCCCACATGGGTACAATGTGTGAAGCCTATTTCTGGTGTCCCCCGCCGTGATATTGCTGGAATATTGCTGAAACCGGCGTAAACCCATAATCACTCGTGTAAATTCACTCACTCACTCCGGACAGTGATGCAGAGTTTCGTCCTTCAGACGCACCAGGATCCGCTGGGTTTGTTTTGTACGAGACCAATATGTTCTTTAATGGTGACCCTTGATTTACCAGCACCATACTCTTGCTGGTGGATTTTACAGAATTAGCAGACACTTGCCCCCTTCACACACTCACTCACTCACTCTCCACAGATTGTCCGGAGCAGCTGACTTACGACCGGACTGGACGCTACACCTGGCCGCAGACCAAACGGGGTCAGAAGATACTCGTCTTGTGTGACCATCAGGACGACATTAACAAGCCCAACATGGCCACCAGAGAGTGCCTCGCTCTGGCCAGCAACAGAGCCAGATGGTCAGACGTGGACTCGTCCAAGTGCCCAGAGGTCAGTGATCCTTATAATACCGACAGTGATTCTTGTCAACAATGATTCTTGTTGACCATTACGATCAGAGTGCCATCATGTATAAGTCATGTGAACGTAAACGATGATTGCTATATCAATAAAACCATAAAACCCTTTCTATAAAATATAATCGTAAGAAATCTTTTCCAAAGCACAATAGGTTATAAAGAAGAGAGTTTTTAGGGATGTCATCTCTTTATTATGAGGAACACAACGTTTCGGGGTATATCCTTACTCCTTCATCAGGTTCAAGACCTGACAATCAGTTATGTATCGTAAGCATTATGTTTTCAAACACTTGCAAAGGCAAGGCAATTTTTCATTTTTCAACAAACGAGAAGTCAAGGGATAGCATCAGACATCATTTTTGTCACAAATGCGTCACATTTTGAAATGTGATCCACGTGTGTGCCACAAAACATTTTGAAAGATTCACTGAGGCCTTGGATGTTGTATCCTTGATCAAACAAGTATTTTTAGACTCTTTGTATCGAGAGTTGCATGACGCTGTTTGAAATCTTCGTAAAGAGATTTTTAACGATAACCAGTCTCAGTGTTGTAACGTCCTTCAGTCTTTATAGCCGGAACTATGCGTCACAACTCCTCGTTGCCGACCAGGTATTTCGAGTGTAATTTATTGTTATAGTGACATATTGTTGAGACCGGTTTATCAAATATGCGATTCTTTGCTTGATGTTTTAAGTGTACGTACAATTGTGAATGGAGTATAATACTCATGTCACAAAGAATGTATGTCACCGGTGTTAAATCTTTGTGGGGCGGTGGGGTAGCCTAGTGGTTAAAGCGTTGGCTTGTCACGCCGAAGACCCGGGTTCGAATCCCCACATGGCCATGGGTACAATGTGTGAAGCCTATTTCTGGTGTCCCCCGCCGTGATTTTGCTGGAATATTGCTAAAAGCGGCGTAAAACCAAACTCAGTCAGTCAGTCAGTCAGTTAAATCTTTGTGACATACGGAGGTGAAGTCGAAGTAGTGGAGTCGTTGTACTGTTAGAAGTAGTTGCTGTTGTTGTTGGTTTGTTGTTTAACGCGCACTCAGAAATATTCCAGCTGTATGGCGGTTTTAGAAGTAGTGGTAGGTGTAATAGTTGTAGTAGTCGTATAGGTGGTAATAGTAGTTGTAATGATAGGTTTTTTTATAGTAGGAGCAGCGGTAGTGTTTGTGGTCGTAGTGGTAGTAGTGGTAGTGGTGGTAGTAGTAGTAGTAGCAGTAGTACTGGTAGTAGTAGTAGTAGTAGTAGTAGTAGTAGTAGTAGTAGTAGTAAGTAGAAGTAGTAGTAGTAGTAGTAGTGGTAGTAGTGGTAGTAATAGTAGTAGTAGTGGTGGTAGTGGTAGTAGTAGTAGTGGTAGTAGTAGTGGAAGTAGTGGTGGTAGTAGTAGTAGTGGTAGTATTAGTAGTACTGGTTGTAGTAGTAGTAGTGGTTGTAGTAGTAGTAGTAGTGGTAGTAGTAGTAGTAGTAGTAGTGGTTGTAGTAGTAGTAGTGGTTGTAGTAGTAGTAGTAGTAGTAGTAGTAGTAGTAGTAGTAGTAGTGGTTGTAGTAGTAGTAGTGGTTGTAGTAGTAGTAGTGGTGGTAGTAGTGGTAGTAGTAGTAGCCCTGATTATAGTAGCAGTAGCTGTAATAGTTGCAGCAGTCGTACTTGTAGTAGCAGTAAGACGGTCAATAGCTGTGATACTAGAAGCTGTAATGGTATTACTAGTAGTATAGTTAGGTTGTAGTTGTACTGTTGTTGTTGTTGTTGTTGTTGACTGTTGGATTTATTGCTTTTTTCGTTCTGCAGTATGGACTGATGCAGGCTGGGCAGACCCTGAACGAGTTAAAGTCGCTGACTTCGGACCCCTCACAAATTAACGCCGACCAACTAGCTAATTTCACAAATATGCTGGAAAGGGTGTTCAGCTATTCACTGTTCAACACAGAGGTATGTAATTGTTGTCGCACACACGCACATACACACACACGCACACACACACATGAAAACAAACAGGTGATAAATGTGGTATAATCCACGCGTCATGATAGCCTGTCAGGACATCCTGACCACGTGGATCTTAGCCCATGATATCAACCCCTCGTTTCGTGCACTGACCAGATTAAATGCAGGTCCTCGCCATATAGCTAGATATGGAGTGCACCCTTAACACACTTCACATGGCGGAAAGTGCCCAGCTTATTAGTGTAAGCCTGGCCTCTTCTCGAACTACATGTATGGTAGAAACGAGATAAGTATGACAACTGCGATAAGCAGGGGAGTCTGTCAACGAAACATTAGTTTGTCATGGGCTCGGATATATGAAAAATATAAAAATATGGCAGTTATTTTGATAATAGCCATGTGTTAACTGTCGCCAAGTGCAGTATGTTTTCCACTTAATACCAGGAGTATCTCACAACGCAGTCGACACAAGCCGGGATGTTTGTGTGTTTGTTTGTTTGTTTGTGCTTTGTTTAATGCTGCACTCTGCAAATCACGACGATCTGTAAATAATCTAGTCGGGACCAGACAGTCAGGTGGTCAACAACATGAGCATCGATCTATGCAGTTGGGATACGATGGCATGTGTCAACCAAGTCAGCGAGCGTGACCACCCGAAAATTAGTCGAAACTAGACAAGCACGGGTTGCTGAAGATCAATGCTAACTCGGATCTTTACGGGTCTGGTTTTAACAGAACTGCTTTAAAATATTTACTGCAATTATAAATGTTCCCAATAGTGCAGCAGTACTAGTGTTACAGAAGTAACTTCAACAGCAATAGGGGCGGTGGGGTAGCCTAATGGTTAAAGCGTTGGCTCGTCACGCCGAAGACCCGGGTTCGAATCCCCACATGGGTACAATGTGTGAAGCCCATTTCTGGTGTCCCCCGCCGTGATGTTGCTGGAATATTGCTAAAAGCGGCGTAAAACCAAAATCCGTCAGTCAACAGCATTCTTTCAAGGCTCCGCTACCAATCATATTAAAGCATGATTGCTGTAAACGAATTCCAACCCGAATCTTCACGGGCTAGCAGGAATGTAATGAAGCGAGTCTTGCACACTCTGCGCCTTTCCGCATCCCTGGCTAATATTCAAGGAATAGATACTATCTTGCCTATGATATTACGTGTTTATGTGCAAACATCGGAAGTCGATAAACAAGATGAGATACTGCATCTTTTCTCCCATCCCTGTATAATGTCACTACCGCATCGTCCTGGCTCACCCCGCGCCGTCGTGAGACGTTCACGTCGTCCCCATCCCCTTACCCCGCTGTAGATGGTTGTTGTTTAGACACAAGGAGTGTCGTGACTGTGGGGGTGTACGTGTTGACTTGCACATCGCTTCCAACAACAATCAGCTTCCCGATCCTACTTTGCGGTCTCGTCCAAACAACCCGGATGTTGGATTTCACACCGAGATGTGTCGACAGTCTTTTGTTGTTCTCACCTGCTGTGACGATCTTGCACTAAGACCTGTTTGAAGCCGTAGTTTAGATAACAAAGAAGACAGGCATTCCGCTACGAGGAAACTGTCCTTTCATTATAGAGTGAAAAGTTGTTTTATCCCCTACAACTTCAAATAGCATATACACCTGTGAAAACATTCTATTTTCATATTAAAAATGCATAGGTTTCTAATGTCATAAGAAAACATATTAATTTTGTTTGACAAAAGTTACGTAACAGCAAGATTCCAGCTATATGGCGGCGGTCTGTAAATAATCGGGTCCGGACCAGACAATCCTCTGATCAACAGCATGAACATCGATCTACGCAATTGGGAACCGATGACATGTGTCAACCAAGTCAGCGAACCTGACCACCCGATCCCGTTAGTCGCCTCTTACGACAAGCATGGGTTACTGAAGATCAATATTCTAACCCGGACCTTCATGGGTCTGGAACCAGGCCGCGTCATACCATAAGACGTTAACATGTGGTACTTGTTTGCCCCTGCCTTGCGCTCGGCATTAATGGGTACAACAAGGACTGGTCGCCTCGGAGTTCTTCACTGCGGCATAGTATCTCAGTGAGCTAGCACTATAAAACCAGCTTAAGTCTTGGCTAGTACAAGCAGCCACACATACACATGCATGTACGTCGTCATATGAGAGAAGCATTCTCAAGTACGACGTTAAACGCCATTTTACCTCACCTCATTTCGTCTTTGACATTATTGGATTGTTCCGGCGTAAAACTAAACTCACTCACTATTGGGTTGTCCAGTCTCGTCTCTGACGACGGTCACGTATACTGACGAACAACAGAAGTACACAGTGGGAAAATATTCCAAAAACTCAACATGAAATTTTACGAAAACTGATTTGATTATGACTTAAAACTCACAAACATTGTGTACGTGTTGCCAAAACACTTTTGATGGTCAGTTTAGTTGGAATAGTGCTGAAGGTGGCTGAAGTCAACAACAAAACAAAGCACATATAGTTTGAGGAGACACAAAAACCTCTTCCCCCAAACATCCGAGTAGTGCCGTCGTCAGTGAGGCAGGTAGTACGTGGATATAGCTCGCACTACGGGCACGAGGGTCGCACACATGGACGGAATTAGCCTTAGCTAGAGCGTTGTCATAATTCTCTCATTAACCTCGGAAATTGGCTCGAATGTACCTGGCAGTACCGAGCTATAAAACAATAACCTCGACACTTCTGATAGCGTAATTCAAACACCAGTAGTAGATCAATATGCCGGTCTTTTTATATTTGCGTGTCCCAGTTTAAATGTTGGCAGATTTTCAAGTTGTTTAGTCTTCTAATAGAACATCGATGTGTTTCCCTCCTAGCGCGTGGTACATTTGGGATAATTACAAAAACACATCTCCTAGCTTCTTCCAAAACTGACATAACATGACTGTGTAGCATATAGTTGTGTAACAAGCTCAAATGGGGCGTGGGGTAGCCCAGTGGTTAAAGCATTCGCTCGTCACGCCGAAGGCCCGGGTTCGATTGCCCACATGGGCACAAAGTGTAAAGCTCATTTCTGGTGTCCCCCGCCGTGATATTGCTGGGATATTGCTAAGAGCGGCAAGCACATACGCAGACACATTCGCACATACGCACTGATAGGTATACAAGTTTAAAATACGGTGGTCCGAACCTGTAAAGTAACATTTCACGAGACTGCTTGTGAGTGAGTGAGTGAGTCCGGTTTAACGCTGGTTTGAAACATATTTAGTTGTTCCGTCGTGGCACCTTCAGTGAGTGAAAATGGTTAAACACCGCTTTTAGCAACAGTCTAGCAATAGCACGAAAGTTGACACCAAAAACTAGCTTTACACATTGCACTCATGTGGGGAATCGAACCCTGCGTTTCGGCGTGACGACCAAACGCTTCACCCACTGGGCTAAACCCCCCACCCCCCACCCTTGTCAGTTTCAAGTGGAAGGTCACATCTAACAGAAAATAAGTTTTTCAGCAAATCGTAACTGGTTCTACAAAAATAACAGTGGTAATAATCGAAGCGTTTCTAGAACTCTATCCCAGACTCTTGTATCCTGCCATAGCTAAGGGACGTAACTCAGTACGGCGAACCGTAATGGTATAAGCCCCTGAGCCACATGCTCACCTTGTCCCTTGAAACTGAAATGCACTGTGCATTAGATCAGAGCTTGTTTCACCGGGAAATAGAGATTGGTAGTACTCTAGGGATGACATTAAATATTTGTTTGAAGTGAGGTCAGCACGTGACGAGATAGGTGAAGGTCAGTTGTGTTTGTGCATAGACAAATACGACTGCTCTGAATGCTGATGGTAATGGTTTTACTTAACCTGATTACGTAATCCATAAACATAATCAAGGCAAGTCTGATTTTCGAATCTACTTTCACGAGCTCCTGGTACGACAAAGGGACGCAATTCTGCCGAGAATGGCGCCTCCATGTGTAGTAGAACTAATCCTTAGATTCACAAAAGAGGAAAGCTGCGTGAAAAACGATGTTTACAATGAAGTGTTCTTTTTGCAGATTGCCGACAGCTTGACGTCAGTGGTGAGCAACCTCGCCGATGTGAACGTCAGCGTCAGCCTTGAGTGCGACAACAACAACAAGACAAGTCGAAGGTCAGTATGGGAATCCTCGTGATATACTACACGCGAAAGAAGTTCAAGAACAACCGATTCTATAGTTATGTGAAATATTAGGACTTCTTTTAAGACTTGGTAGTATATCAGGAGCATGCTACTTTATGGACAGGGGCGGTGGGGTAGCCTAATGGTTAAAGCGTCCGCTCGTCACGCCGAAGACCTGGGTTCGATTCCCCACATGGGCACAATGTGTGAAGCCCATTTCTGGTGTCCCTCGCCGTGATATTTCTGGAATATTGCTAAAAGCAGCGTAAAACTTAACTCACCCACTCACTTTATGGACAAGCATCTTTTAGAGGTACATCATTTCTGTGCACCTTTTACTCATTGTCCGTATTTATTACTCGTAACATCAGCATGTCTGGAAACGATATATGATATATAAATCATAGAAGGAATTCATATTTAACAAATTTTGAAAATAATTACACTCTTAAAGGCTGTTCCCAAATACCGACATAAGATCGTTTTATTGTTAGGCTTGTGTTAAACGGGCCAAGTATTAGACTGGCTGACTGCAGAACTGTGGTGAGAAACTGAAGATACGCATCCATGTGATGAACTCAGTTTGACGTTGTAACCGATGTCGTGCAGGTTGGTGCAGCTGTTGGAGACTTACAGCGCCGAGACCAACAACACAGAACCTATAATGTCCGCCAACGTCAACATCAGAGCTATGGACATCGTGGCTGGCGACAACAAGACGATGCCCCCCTTCAGTCCTCTACTCCTTGACGGCAACCACACTGTGGAGGTAGGTCGGAGACATGGTTCACGATATCAACCACTGGTTTGTCTGGTCAAGACCCGACACAGACCACCACCATGCATCGGGACAGTTGTTGCATGTAGGTGCGACCCGTGAAGATCCGGGTCAGAAGTGGTCTTCAGCAACCCATGCTTGTCGTAAGAGGCGACAAACGGGATCGGGTGGTCAGGCTCGCTGACTTGGTTAACGTCATCGTATCCCAATTGTGTAGATAAAAGCTCATAATGTTGATCACTGGATTGTCTGGTCCAGACTCGATTATTTACAGGCCGCCGCCATATTGCTGGAATATTGCTTAGTGCATCAATTAGTGCATCAATCAATCAATCAATCATGTCTGTCTCACAGTCCCTGAACCACATTATTTTCCCTACTGCCCAGCCCTCCCTGCAATGCTAAAGCCCTAAATAAAGCAAGTCTAGATTTCCTCAGTCTGAATTTCCCATCTCAATGGGGCCCCTCTCCAATTTAAATGGGATTATTTGATACTATAAGAATTATATATATTCAGAGACTAAGGGTTTGTCTACTACTACCAGGGCGATTATTACGACTACAACGAAAACGACTACTACTATAACCACGACGACTACTACCACCACCACTAATACAACTACTACCACTATGCTCCTATTGTATAGAAATTTGGAGGATGGTATGAATGTTCCCCTCTCATTGTGTCAATCACTGGCTTGTCTAGTCCAGCCTCGATTATTTACAGACCGACCCCATATAGCTGGAATATTGCAAAGCGGCGTTAAACAGTAAACAAACAAACACGTATGCGCGGGATAACCGATAAACAAATAACCAAACACCAACAAAGAAAGAGAATCATGTTGTTAAGGCTCGTGTCGTCCCAGACCTAACTGCCAGCACCTAGCTGTAGATTAATGTCGGTCTCCCCACCCCAGGGGACGCAGAGATAACATAAAGACTGGGCCTCCAGGTAATCAACAGTAAGACGTGCCCACACACCCAGTGCATGCAGGGTCAGGCCAGCTGACGTAATTAGACAAAGAAATATCTCTCTCGTGTGAAGTTATCGTTTATTTATGACGCGCTTAATTAGCCTTTGTACTGGGTGGCCAGGTCGTTGTTGTGTGGAGAGGTAGCCTGTGCTGTCGTATTGTTTATAATAAGGTATTCTTCAAAGAATGTTTTTCCTTGCATCGTTTTTTCTCAACATAATTGTTGAAATACCGTGTTGCTACAGTTTCCTGGTAGGAGGCAGGTTCAGCATCCCTGTGCTTTCATCCTCATCTCTTATTAACGACCTCTTGTGTAATTACATTTTATCGCCGTCGTGAATAAGATACACCCTTGATTTGTGACCTAACTTTCTTGTAGATGCATAATGTATTACAATAACAGTTTGATATATGGCTTTCTGTAATATATGGAAAGTGAGTACAAAAGGTTTAATAAAATACGAAAGTGCGTGTTCGGTGTTCCCTGTTCACGTTCACGTTCAAAGGGAGGCAACTCTATTGTGATTATGATCTCTGCATTGTTCACTGTGTTCCCGGGTGTCGTACAAAGCGATCTTAGAGCTATGGTGATGGTAACCCCAAAACCTTAACATAGACTTACGACAGTCGTAACCCTAAGGTTGGTTTGTGTAACGTCACCAAGGTTCTCCTTAAATATTACAGTTACTACTGTTGCTGCTATTCTCTGTACTCGCTACAAATCATACTGCCACTATTCACACCACAGTGACTACAGTTACTACAAATATCCCTGTGACTACCACTACTGCTACTACACTGTGTATAACAGCTTTTACCTGAAGATCCGGGTAAGATTGATAATCGTAGAGCGATGCTCATGATGTCAATCACTGGATTAAGAAAATGAGTGGACAAACTCTGACAAAATATAATTTATTTTAGAAACAAATAATTTTACTTTTAAATTGAAAAAGTGCCCCAGTGAGAAGGGAGATTTAGACCTGAACCTGAGGAAATCTAGACTTGCGTCATTGAGGGCTTTAGCTGACAGAGAGTGCAGGGCGGAAGGGAAGATAATGTGGTTCATGGACTGTGAGACAGACTGGAAAGTGAGCTATGTTGAGACACATCTGTGAATCGTTCTCCTCCTCTATCCATCAATATTATCCCAACTTCTGGTCACATCATGTCAGCGCCCCCTGTATGTGACATAATTCTTTGTTTCTTCCAGAGTGGTCTTTCCATCACCCTGCCTCCCGAGGCGATGAAAACCGCCAACAGCAGGGAACGCCGGCCTCTGCGAGTCCAGTTTATAGGCTACCGGAAGTCCATGTTTTTCATCCCCACTGACCGATACCCTGAAGGAATAGATGGCCAGCGTGTTGTCACAGCTATCGTGAAGGGTGCAGTGGTCAAGAACCTGTCCACCCCTATCATCTATAAAATGCGCAATATCGAGGTGAGGCACTCTTCCGTGGAATTAAGTGCAATGCAATGTTTTGGCTAGAATTTCTCTACTACATTTAAACGGCTTTGGGAGAATATGTTTTTCCAACTTTTTTCATTGCAAAAGACAAGTATTTAAGTAAAAGTTTTAAGCTTATCTGTCCTAACGTAAATATAAAATTTGTTAGAATGTGACTTAAATTTTAAAGTCACATCGACAATATTCGACAAAGAATAATGTTTGTTTATTCATTGAAAAGTTGTTTCCTTGGAAACGTTGCAGACATCATGGTCTATTATTTACTCTGCTTATGGATAAGTCGAAGCAAGTTGGATGGTCCTGAGGACCTCGAGTTATACCGTATATTCAATGACCACAATGTTTTTTATAGTTGTTAAAGATATTTTTTCTGCATTGCAGGCTGGTAGAAATCACTCCTGCGTTTACTGGGACCCGGAAAGTAAGTAATCTTTTTTATTAGACTCACTACTTGACGAGCGCCACTGATAAAGACGTCATTGTACTGTGTGTCTCCAGATTCTTCCATATGAAATGAAATAACAGTACTGCTCATTAAGAGAGTATTTTGTTTTAATGTTTTGTATTATATGATAAATATGCCTTTAAAATTAGTATAAAAGTGGTTTTCACACATAAATATTTAATATGTTTTTATTCTACATAGTATATATTGTTTGTTAAAGGAAACCATATGTAAGGGAGACTACTCCGCCTGCATGGTTACGACGCGACGTAAATACTTCGTATTCGACTGTGAATTGATTTTTACTCGACATATTTATATTTGCATATTCGTTACAGTGTTAAACATATTAATAACACGTTTAGAGTAAAAGTAGAGATATTTTGTCTGCTGAAAATAGTTCCGTTACGGTTATATTCGATCATGGTGATCTGTTTGAATTTAATTAAACCACTGCAAAGTTGTAATTTTCTAATTCATGTAATTGCAGATAGGACGTGGTCGTACGACGGCGTGACGACGTTAATGCACGACGACAACACCACCGAGTGCCACACCAACCACCTCACCAGCTTTGCTATTCTAATGGTTGGTAGAGTGAATTTGGAATTTGTGTCAAAAACCCTTACACATTTGTCATTTTGCCAGTTCCAAAGATAAGATGTCCAAACACCATGCGTGCAGTTTATAAGTAGCTCTGGCAACCAGAGTTCCTGGTCGTAGGTTCGAATCCAAGGTGATTCCTGATTATGTTTCCTGGTTTGTCATGCCCATGTTCATGGAATTTGCCAAAATGATAAACGTCCAAGAACTACATCACGTAAATAATAGACTGCCCATAACAACAAGTTGTTATAACTGAAAATAAAATAGAACTTATCTCTAAGGGACCGTTCATAATTCATGGCTAGGGGTTGATTATGATTTTTTTTTTTTTTTTTTTTTTTTTTTTTTATTTATTTTAAAAACAAATAAAATATGGAATTTTATTTATTTGGGGGTCCATCCATTTTGTTCTGGGGAGGTAGGGGGTCATCAATTTTGTACACGTTTCTAGGGGGGCATTTTTGTAGATAAAAATAATTTAAAATTATGCTTTAAAAATATGGGGAAGGGGTGGGGGGTCATTGACTTTGTACATGACATGCAGGGGGGTCACTTACTTTGTACATAAACTTTAGAGGGGGTGTCATTCACATTGTACATGCTTCTCCATAAAAATCATCATCACCCCCCTCTAGCCATAAATTATGAACGGTCCCTAAACCCAAATCACTATCTGGTGATAAGCAGGTTTTTAATTATGTAGTCTAACTACTCTGCTGATTTCCAGGATCCGAACCCCGCCCACCCGTCGCCCATTATTCACGAGCAGATCCTCACCTACATCTCCTACGTGGGCTGCGCCATCTCCCTCATCGGCCTCATCCTCACCATCATCACATACGGGCTCTTCAGGTAAAGGGAGACAACTAGCTAAAAGTTACCGTGTTGGTTGGCAACAACCCTTGCTTATCGTTGTTCTTGGTGGAGGCATATCACCTTATCCAGTCTGCGTAGATACTGATCATAATGTCAATCATTGGATTGTCTGGTCGAGACTCGATTATTAACGGCCCCGACTTGTACCTGTAATATTGTTGAGTGCAGCCTTAAAGATCCGGGTTAGAATTCATCTTCAGTAACTCAGCTTGTCGTAAGAGGCGACTAACGGGATCGGGTGGTCAGACTCGCTGACTTGGTTGACACATGTCATCGGTTCCCAATTGCGCAGATCGATGTTCATGCTGTTGATCACTGGAATGTCTGGTCCAGACTCGGATCATTTACAGACCGCCACCATATAGCCGACATATTGCTGAGTGCGGCATAAAAATAAACTCAATCACTCACTCAAGTAAACAACAAATAAACAGACATGCAGTAGTAAACCCTTTAACCAGGATAAATGATTGCCAATATCCACAGCGTCCATTCTCCACCGGGACTGTACTGTACAGCATTGTATTTTACTGTTCGGTGTATTGTAAATGGATTGGAGTCGAACTAGTATCGGTGTCGAGGACAATTAAAAGGAATAGGATAATGTACACTTGAGGAAGTGACATGAATGAAGTTTTGGAAAGGGTTTTTCCGATAGTCTGTTAAAACAAATTGAAAACAAACATTTTATTCGTGTACAGTACACGTTCACCTCACGGTTACCAATGTACATACTCATAAAAAACGTAAGGTGTCCATTTGTCATTGGTTACTTATTCCATTAAAAACATGTAAAAACACTATGCATCAAGCTCTATACATCGAAGCTCTGGCAAACTCTTACGAACAGTTTATAGGGCTACGATTGTCCTATTCATGTGTTACTGCTACGATCGGTTTCTGGAACCTGGAGTGAGTGAGCGAGCGACTTTAGTTTTACGCCGCACTCAGCAATATTCCAGCTATATGGCGGCGGTCTGTAAATAATCGAGTCTGGACCAGACAATCCAGTGATCAACAGCATGAGCATCGATCTGCGCAACTGGGAACCGATGACATGTGTCAACCAAGTCAGCGAGCCTGACCACCCGATCCCGTCAGTCGCCTCTTACGACAAGCATGGGTTACTGAAGGTCAATATTCTAACCTGGACCTTTACGGGTCTGGAACCAGGACATGTGTCGAATGTCCGGTTGTCTCGAAATCAGAAAGAAAACCTGCCCAATAATGTAAAACTGTACGAAACGTGACCGAAATATACTTGAAAAATGTTATTCTGCTCTGCTCTGCTCTGCACAACTGATAGTTTCAGTTTCTAAGTTTCTATTTGTGTTTCTAGGTGTATGAACAAAGACAAGTCTGGTAAGATCCTGCTGAATCTGTGTGTATCAATGCTGCTGATGAACGTCGCCTTCCTCATGGGCGCCCAGAGCTCCTCCACCTACGGCGAGCAGCTGTGCATGGCTGTCGCGATGTTGCTGCACTACTTCCTCCTCACGACGTTGATGTGGATGTTGGTTGAGGCGGTGGAGATGTACCAAGCCCTCGTCACCGTGTTTGCCAAATATGCCAGGTTCTACATGATCAAGCGATGTATTGTTGCATGGGGTAAGTCTGTTGCATATCAGGTTTTCTAGGGGTATTTTGTTTGAACTTGTTTGTCAAGGGGGCTGGGGCGGCGGCGGAGTGGGGAGGTGTGTTCCTGGATTGGAGGCGACTAACGGGACCGGGTGGTCAGGCTCGATGGCTTGGTTGACACATGTCATAGGTTCCCAATTGCGCAGATCGATGCTCATGCTGTTGATCACTGGCTTGTCTGGTCCAGACTCGATTATTTACAGACTGCAGCCATATAGCTGGAATATTGCTGAGTGCGGCGTTAACTCACTCACTCCAGCCTCCAGTCCAAGACAATGGGCACAAGACTTCAAAGCATATCTCGTGTTGGATTATTGCTGAGTGCGGCGTAAAAGTAAACTCACTCACTAACTCCTCGGATTGGATGGGTGTTGGTGGTTTAATGAATCAGCATCCTTCCCGAATCATTACGTCGGCGGGGCGGTGGGGTAGCCTAATGGTTAAAGCGTTCGCTCGTCACGCTGAAGACCCGGGTTCGATTTCCCACATGGGTACAATGTGTAAAGCCCATTTCTGGTGTCCCGCGCCGTGATATTGCTGGAATATTGCTAAAAGTGGCGGAAAACTAAACTTACTCACTCACTCACTCAATTGGAGATAATCCTGACGTTTTGACATGCCTTTGACACGCCATGGCGTGATATGTACATGTTGTTTTGACATGACGCTGACAGGTTTTCATGTGACATTGACAAATTTTGAGGGCGACATTGACACGTTTTGGTATGGTATGTTTTGACATTATATTGACATGTTTTGACATGATACTGACATGTTTGTGTCTTTTCCAGGCGTCCCCATGGTGATCGTTGTGATCACAATGGCGGTGGACCTCAACAACTACCGACCTCCATACGACTTGTAAGTACATCAGCGAATCGGCGCTGTACTATTGTCTTATGTTCGTTAAGATTATCTGCTCAATGTTAAACAGCGCAGTGCCTGGATTGCCTGGTCCAGACTCGATTATTTACAGACCGCCGCCATATAGCTGGAATATTGCTGAGTGCGGCGTTAAACAGACAAACAAAGACTTGTATGTCACTGTGTAAGTGCGAAAGTCCTGGGCCCCGTTCCTCAAAGCGATCGTAGCGCTACGACAGTCGTAAGTCTATGTTAAAGTATGGGAGTTACGATCACCTTAGCGCTACGATCGCTTTGAGGAACGGGGCCCTGAACGCAATCTTCAATTTAGCTCACCTCGCGTAAAACATCACACAACTGCGTCATTTCTCATTTAAGGCTGACGTGTATTTTACTTAAAGTGGCGTTAAACCCAACTGACTCACTACCTCTTCATCCTTACAGCTGCTTCATCTCTCAGGCCAGCAAGGTCGCCTACTACGTCTCCCTCGTCGGCCCCGGCTGCCTCATCGTCCTCATCAACACCATCGTCTTCATCATGGTGGCCAGGGTCATCCTCAAGCCTCGTTTTCAACAACAGCAGCGCGAGGAAAAGGAACACGTGACCCCCGCCCAGGTGCGTGGAGCCTTCACGGTCATGATTCTCCTTGGTGTCACGTGGGTGTTTGGACCAATCGCAGTCAACGAAGCCAGGGTCGTCTTCAACTACCTGTTCTGCATCCTGAACTCTCTCCAAGGTTTCTTCATCTTCGTATTCCGATGTCTCTACAACCCAGAGGCGCGTCTCGCCTGGATCCAACTGATTAAGACGGGTACCCTGAAAACCAGGAGAGGTCCAATCAAGTCTGTCTACTCCGAGACCTCCTCGAAAGGAGATCACTCAAAATCCAGAACAAACGTCCATTTCGGGGGCACTCTCAAATCCAACATTATGCAATCCAATGGCTGGCACCATCCTAAACTGAATGGAATGCACTCCGAAAATGGTTCAGTCCGAAATGAAAACCAGTACTTCGCAGAGAATCAAAATTCTGAGGACCAAGTTTTTCACACAAAAGACTACGTATATTTAGACAATAACACCCCTCCAACTAGAACCAGTGATATGGGCGAAGACGGCTTTACTCACTTGTAGAACCAATTTAAGGGTCTTATATGAACCTTATTAACTCTCAGCATCGTTCCGAAGGAAAGGAGGACTAATCGCTCTTTGAACCGATTCCTTGACGTTGCGAGGAGTCAAGTATTGTGTATATAAAGCCACGGCAATGAATGGTGCAATGTATCTGAGATGTGAACTTTGGACTTTAAGTCACATACAAGGGGAGGTAACTCTCTCAGATACCATTCAATGGGAAGCACACGTTCCACGTCACTGTTATGGTGTGATGTGCTTGTCTGTATATATCTCGACGATGTAAATTTATTTCATTTTGTCACTTTGTTAAGTGTGTGTAAATTGAATCATTTTAGACAATCACGCCATGGAATACTTAAAATGAATGGTTCATTGAATTAACTTCCCAATGAATTCGTGTAAATTGAGTTATTTAGACGATCACGTCATGGAATACTTAAAATGGGCATTGAATTCACTTCCCAATGAATTCGTGTAAATTGAATCATTTAGACAATCACGTCATGGAAGACTTAAAATGGGCATTGAATTGCCTTCCCAATGAATTTCTACCCTTCATCAACGACCTAAAGAACATTTGAATAATTACACCAATCTAGTTATAATTATACATTATGTAAATTATGTACATACAAAAATATGTCGGCGATCCTAAATATGCTTGTCGAATGTCTATTCACACTAAAAAAATATAGGTTTTCAGGGACTGACTATCTTTAATGTATTTCCTCATCCCAAATATTGTAATTTCGTTAAAATATGGAAAAAAACATTTTCGCTTACTTCTTTTTCTGTGTTAAACTTAACGAAATTAAGAAATCGGACGATTATGTGATCGTTAAAATTGACATATCCATAAATATCCTTGGAAACGTAAGTCATATCCTTTTCTAAGTCACGTTATCATTGAAACCTCTCTAGTCTGGCCCCCTTTTAGTACGGATCACTGATAGTTAGGGAGTGCAATGTCGATATATGACCAAAGGGCTTATGATCCATCACTCCGGACATTGTTTTCATCAGATATAGTGCAATGTGGAGTAACTATTTGTAGCTGTATACATACTGCTGAATACGCCATTTACAAACGAAAACATGATATTAACTTCAGCTTGCCACTTTTTTCATATTAATATCATCATAAGTTGTTGAACCACACTGCCAAATATATACTGTTGACCTACGACTGTCTAACATTTCTGGGACCTGGTGCCGTTGAACAAACATCCTGACGTCATCCGTATCTTGTATGTGTTTCTCATCCCCAGCCTCATCCCGCTAGAGGGCGGACGGGTAAAAAATATATTTAAATTGTGTTTTTACTAATTGTGTGACATTTTGTTTTAAATTATACTATTTACATAGTTACGATCTTTCTTGTTGATGCAAATAGAATCGTTTTGTTGAATATAGACAGGAAAAGATCAAGCTAACCTGATTTGTTATGAGCGTTTAATGGAAGAATATTTATTTAACATGGGGTGTAAAGTTTCATATCGGCAAGAGAGAAAAATGAAAATGAAACATTTTATTGTTTCACGACGGAATGAAAATTCAAGGCGGGCGGTACATGGGAAACATAAAAAATACGTATATCTTAAGCCCTACGACTGTACTTATTGATGTTAAGGTATGGACGTTACGATCACGTTAGCGCGAAGACTGCTTTGTACAACAGCACCCGCATCCACAGGGTTCGTATCGCTACGACATTCGTAACCTATGATAAACTATAGTGTTACGATAGGTCGTAAAGTTGCGAACGCCGAATGTTTCGGGACCAGTCCTAAATTCCTATTATACTTTCTGGATATATTTCGTAAAATTCATTAAAACGACTGTCATTGTTTCGACTTTACTGTTAAACACTACAATACTGTTATACACACTCTTGTCATTCCCTGCTCTTTGTTTCTGGGAATTTGAGTGATGCTGAAGTCTAAACGAAATTAAATTCTATTTCTGTTGGTTTACACAAACTTGAGATTTGGGACTCTCCGAGCGTCCATCTAGCTGGACATCGTTCCATTCCTTCATCCCCATCAACATCTAGTATTACTGCTGGAGAAATTCATGCCAAACATTGATGAAATCCTTGTCGAGTCATACCATAAGATTTGTACAGAGATGCCATTTTATAAAAATGCATAATTTATTTATCCTTTGTTGGAATAAATGTTTACCTCTCAAGCTTTTGTTCTTTTATCTTTGTGATGTATTTTGGGAGGCGTTGGGGTAGCCTAGTGGTTAAAGCATTCGCTCGTCATACCGGAGACCCGGGTTCGACTCACCAAGTGGGTGTAATGTGTGAAGCCAGTTTTTTGGTTCTCCCCGCTGAAATATTGCTAAAACCGGCGTAAAACTATATTCACTCACTATTTGCGATGTACAGATGTACACCCCCGTTATCCCCGTTATTGTAGCTCGTGTCGAGGTGATACACTTCGTTTTTCGCCCAGTCGTGTGCATGTATATCGTCCAGAATCTGTGTCGACCAATGGTAGGGAACATTTGTCTGAAAATTATTTTCATTCACGGGCTAGATTATGTGTCTATTGACTTTCTATATAGATTATGCGTCTGTTGACGATCTAGATTATGTCTATTGAAGGACTAGATTGTGTCTATAGACTTTATAGATTGTGTCAATTGACCGTCAAGATTGTTTCCATTGACGGTCTAGATTGTGTCTATTGACGGTCTAGATTGTGTCTGTCGACTTTTCAGATTATGTCCGTCCACGGTCTGTATTATGTCTGGTGACTTTCTAGATTAAGTGTCTATTTTCATGGCCTATACTATGTGTTTATTGACGGTCTAGACTGTGTCTATTGACGGTCTAGATTGTGTCTATTGACGGTCTAGATTGTGTCTATTGACGGTCTAGATTGTGTCTATTGACGGTCTAGATTGTGTCTATTGACGGTCTAGATTGTGTCTATTGACGGTCTAGATTGTGTCTATTGACGGTCTAGATTGTGTCTATTGACGGTCTAGATTGTAGTCTAGATTGGTCTAGATTGTGTCTATTGACGGTCTAGATTGTGTCTATTGACGGACTATTGATCTGTGTCTATTGACGGTCTAGATTGTGTCTAGATTGTGTCTATTGACGGTCTAGATTGTGTCTATTGACGGTCTAGATTGTGTCTATTGACGGTCTAGATTGTGTCTATTGACGGTCTAGATTGTGTCTATTGACGGACTAGATTGTGTCTATTGACGGTCTAGATTGTGTCTATTGACGGACTAGATTGTGTCTATTGACGGTCTAGATTGTGTCTATTGACGGTCTAGATTGTGTCTATTGACGGACTAGATTGTGTCTATTGACGGTCTAGATTGTGTCTATTGACGGTCTAGATTGTGTCTATTGACGGTCTAGATTGTGTCTACTGACGGACTAGATTGTGTCTATTGACGGTCTAGATTGTGTCTGTCGACTTTTCAGATTATGTCCGTCCACGGTCTGTATTATGTCTGGTGACTTTCTAGATTAAGTGTCTATTTTCATGGCCTATACTATGTGTTTATTGACGGTCTAGACTGTGTCTATTGACGGTCTAGATTGTGTCTATTGACCGTCAAGATTGTTTCCATTGACGGTCTAGATTGTGTCTATTGACGGTCTAGATTGTGTCTATTGGCGGTTTAGGTAATATGTGTAAGATTAGGTTATATGGACGGTCTCATGTGTTCATTTAAATTTCGATCCGCAATCTTCTCTATGTTCATGCAAAGGCTCATCCATGGTCTGGAATCTGTGTCAAAGCATAGTTTAAACATCCATGATCTAGAGTCTGTACGAAACCTTGGACTAGAAACTCGACCCATCCGTGGTCTGGACTATGTATCAGCCCAGCCTCAACAATCTGCCAATCAATAATGTTAAATCTTTTATCTATGTACGGAGAGTCTCTCTGTTGTATGTCCACGTTGAAGATCGGGCATTGAGGGCAACTAGACCCAGCATGTTGTAGTACTGGGAGTATGGTTGGGTCTTGCGAGAGTATTGCGTACAATATATATAGTTGGAGGGTTTCGTTTGAACAGGTGTACATTCAGATTAGGATCTTTATGTATGTCATGCATAAAGAAGATTGTACGCCTTCTCTTGCAACATTGCCCTGACAAGAGGCCTGTGATGGGATTAAACAAAATGAAGAAAATTACAACCAAACAGAAACGAGTCATGAATTCGTTGTACTCAAATTTAATTGGGGAATTTATCTTGCATGATACAATGAGTGAGAGTAATCCATTTAGTCCTAAGGTTTTACGCCACTTTTAGCAATAGTCCAGCAATATCGGGGCGGTGGGGTAGTCTAGTGGTTAAAGCGTTTGCTCGTCACGCCGAAGGCCCGGGCTCGATTCCCCACATGGGTACAATGTGTGAAGCCCATTTCTGGTGTCCCCGGCTGGGATATTGCTGGGATATTGCTAAAAGCAGCGTAAAACTAAACTCACTCACTCACTCTAGCAATATCACGGCGGGGACACATTGTACACATGTGAGTAATCGAACCCGGATCTTCAGTGTGACGAGCGGACGCTTTGACCACTAGACCACCTCACCTCCCCTATGACACATTGAACATGAGATGAGACGATCCACCATGTCTAACTAGTCTTATCGTGACATTTGGGTCTCGGGGGCGGTGGGATAACCCATTGGTTAACGCGTTCGCTCGTCACGCCGAAGATCCGGGTTCGATTCCCCACAAGGGTACAATGTGTCCAGCCCATTTCTGGTCTCCAACCAACTTACTCTTTCACTCACCACTCACTCACTTGGTCGTTCTAGTTTATTGAACAAACGAGATAATTCATGTATAATAGACAATGAGTGCGATATTCTGTTCCGACACAAACACCATTATCAGTAAAGACTGACTGACTGACTGAGTTTGGTGTTACGCCGCTTTTAGCAATATTCCAGCAACATCACGGCGGGGGACACCAGAAACGGGCTTCACACATTGTACCCATGTGGGGATTCGAACGCGGGTCTTCGGCGTGACGAGCCAACGCTTTAACCACTAGGCTACCCCACCGCCCCTATCATTAAAGAGCGTTTCATAGAATCGTTCACTTTCAAATACGCCATGGTCATTTTATGTGCGTTTCAAATGATTTGCGTGCAGTGGTTATAAAATTCTAGATATGAAATCCTTAGAAGACATTAACCATACCTAGTTAATTTACTACTAGTCAATCATCATGCATTATAAACTGTATTGATAAAATATAGATGCATGCTTTGTGGCAGTATTACCTTTAAACAATATTCCACACGAAACGTGTACCAAACGGATGTTATTCAATAAACCTGAATAAGTGAAATGACATTAACCATTGAGCCTTTGTTAGTAATATCACGGCGGAGGACGCTGTAAACAGTTTCGCGCACTATATCCATGTGGGGAATCGAACCCGGGCCTTCGGGGACCGCTTTAACCACTGGACTACCTTCAACTTCGACACAACGGTGTTTGGCTGTATATTCAATGCAAGGCGTAAAGGTGCGTTCTCTCGGTGCGACTTGTGGCATCCGACCTGTAGTGACAGCAAAACTCGTAACGACTTTGTTATTTCTGAACTTTTTAAGTCGCATACAACTCGCGAGATTCTCACGTATGCCTCGGCAACATGGATTCGTCGGGTGAAGAAGACACTTTAACGTTAACGTCAGTCTACATATCGCATTCACTGAAAAAGAAGAAGAGAAAGCCCAACTGGATTCTTAGGCGAAGCATTCCATAAACATTCCAGTGACAAATAAAAAACTATTTTCCGCTCGGTTTCTTCTCTGGCAAAGTTGATTTTTTTTTCAGTCGTGACATGCATGATGTCAACATAAACAAAAGGGACGTCACTCTGAGGTGGAGGCAGATCTAAGCGATTTGATTGGTCGAGAGCTTGCGACTCGCAGTAGGATAGACAAACCCTATGTCATACAACACAGCTGCGATTAGTTGTGTGCGATTTCACATCGTTATGATCTGGGTGTTCCCACGGTGCAACTGTGTCGCATGTCGCACCGTGAGAAGGTACCTTAAGCTGAAGGCAGATGTTGATGCATGTTGTCTCCAGAAATTCTAATCTTCGTGACAACCAGACTTCCTTCATGTGTATGATATGCGACTCAATGCAAAAGATCATTCTATGATTCGTGAATTTTGTTTATGCTTTTCACACATTTCATACGCTTCACGATTGACATATTTAGGCCGAAATTACAATCATGCTGCATTTGTTCTTGTAAGCACGCAAATTCTTGCAGTATTATCCGTATCACATCCATCACAGAATTAATGGACAAGATGGGTTTTTCAAAAAACCACAAGAAGTCGACCGAAGTCTTAAAAAATATCTATTGAATATTCGAGTTTTCCATTTGCTATTTCTGTTCAACGTGAAATGCATTTCCTTGAGGTACTTCACGTGACGAGATTGCTATCGACAATTTCATTAAAATCAAATCGTACTGCTCGCTTCCGCTAGACAAAGATCTGAGGAGATCTGATAGCTGGCGAGTCACGCTGCTACGGAACCAATTTTCTATGACAGGATGTATTTGTTACAGATTTCACAAGAGCCTATTCATCATTCTTGAACTGATCATTATTTTTAAGGAAGATAATTACATGTAAAGGGTTTATATTACAAAAATGTACATGATCAGATTTTGGAAAATCTGAACATGGCAGAAGTTAACGTAGATGTATTGTGTGAAGATCGGAACTGGAAGATGAAGTTTATGTAATTATAGTTTAAACATGAAAAAGGTAATGTATTGTGTACTGTTTGAGTTATACCGTAAAGTACGTTCATAACGGACACGTTAATACCGAACTGATGGATAAAACGAACTGTTAACATTTGAGAGGAGCCTACGGTGCAGCACTACGGTTATAAGGAACTAACATTAGTGTGTACAATGTAAATATTAGAGTGTGAACGGGAAGTTGAGGAAAATGTTCAAATACTTTGTTATTATGCCAGTGGTGTTCTACCTGTGGGAGGGGCGGTGGGGTAGCCTAGTGGTTAAAGCGTTCGCTCGTCACGCTGAAGACCCAGATTCGATTCCCCACGTGGGCACAATATGTGAAGCCTGTTACTGGTGTCCCCCGCAGTGATATTGCTGGAATATTACTCACTCACTCACTCGCTCACTCTATCTGTGGTATTCTACCTGTGGTATTCCATTCGTGATGGTCTACCCATTCGTGGTGATCTGCCTGTGGAGTTCTACCCTTGGTGTTCTGCCTGTGGTGTTCTGCCCTTGGTGTTCTGCCTGTGGTGTTCTACCCTTGGTGTTCTGTCTGTAGTGTTCTACCCTTGGTGTTCTGCCTGTGGTGTTCTACCCTTGATGTTCCTGGCCCTGTGGAGTCTCCCACCTTGGTGTCTCCGCCGTGGTGTCCCACTGTGGTGTTCTGCCTGTGGTGTTCCTACCCTGGTGTGTCCCTGCTTGTGGTGTTCTGCCTGTGGTGTCTTCTACCCCTGGTGTTCTGCCTGTGGTGTCTCCCACCCTTGGTGTTCTGCCTGTGGTGTTCTGCCCGTGGTGTTCTACCCTTGGTGTTCTGCCCTTTGTGTTCTACCCTTGGTGTTCTGCCTGTGGTGATCTGCCTGTGGAGTTCTACCCGTGGTGTTCTGCCTGTGGTGTTCTACCCTTGGTGTTCTGCCCGTGGTGTTCTACCCTTGGTGTTCTGCCCGTGGTGTTCTACCCTTGGAGTTCTGCCTGTGGTGTCCTACCTTGGTGTTCTGCCTGTGGTGTTCTGCCTGTGGTGTTTTACCCTTGGTGTTCTGCCTGTTGTGTTCTACCCTTGGTGTTCTGCCTTTGGAGTTTTAAACTTGGTGTTCTGCCCGTGGTGTTCTACCCTTGGTGTTCTCTCTGTAGTGTTCTACCCTTGGTGTTCTGCCAGTGGTGTTCTACCCTTGGTGTTCTGCCCGTGGAGTTCTACCCTTGGTGTTCTGTCTGTAGTGATCTGCCTGAGGTGTTCTGTCTATGGTGTACTACAGATGGTCTTCAGCAACCCATACTTGTCGTAAGAGGCAACTAACGGGATCCACTTGTATCCCAATTGTAGAGATCGATTTTTTATCACTGGATTGCCTGGTCCAGACTCGATTATTTACAGGCCGCCGCCATATTGCTGGAATATTGCTGAGTGCATCAATCAATCAATCAATCATTAGTCTGTCTTACAGTCCCTGAACCACATTATTTTCCCTACCGACCAGCCCTCCCTGCAATGCTAAAGCCCTAAATAAAGCAAGTCTAGATTTCCTCAGTCTGAATTTCCCATCTCAATGGGGCCCCTCTCCAATTTAAATGGGATTATTTGATACTATAAGAATTATATATATTCACAGACTAAGGGTTCATCTAGTGCTTGATGAACGCCACTCCATCTTCAAGACAGCACAGTGAACTGATGCAGTTATTGTCGATATAAGACAACCTCGAAACTTGATCCTAAACCTCCCCCTCCCCGATCCGAGTCTGTCGTGAGATAATTCCTCCCCAGGCATCGCTAGAGCTGACAAAAACATTGATAAACGTCATCTGCCGCCTATCAAGACAGCCAGTGACACCACGGAACCTAAACTTGGGAGAAAGCGGTAGGCAATTTGATAATAGTATTTCTTTAGTCCGCAAAGATTGATTTATAAGACTTGGCCTGATCATGAACGTGAGTATTTTTAGCCGAATTTCCCTTATAGCCTGCGAGCACGTTGCTCGCTATCTACAGCACTGAGCACAGTGGGAGTCAGCTGATCAATACAAACCCTCACAGTGGAGGGATACGATGTGACGTCTCTCTTCAAACGCCCGATTTTCCAGCTGACGAAGTGGTCATTCCAAGACAGACTGTCCGGTCACTAAGCATCAGCGTTCTTCTCCATCACTTCCGGGTTCCTGGAAGTCTGCGAGGAAGGATCGTCTAACTACGTTCATATTGGAAGGTAATTTTATCATTGGAATCTTGAAGGTATGTGTAGTGCTTGTCAGTTCTACCTATGTTTATGTATTTGATCGTGGATTTTGATACGCTAACGATGGATTCCCAGTGAGGCTATTGTAAACATGACAATTACCGTTATGTTTTGTATTTGCAGCTATGGTCTTTCGGACTTGTGATGTGATACGTGTGTGTTTCGAGGGTGTCGATGCATAATGAGTGATTTCACACAAGCTGTTGTCAGTCGATACGTTGCTGAAACTGAAACTCAGAATGATGAATGTTGGACGTAATTTGAAATCTGCATTAGATATAGGTTGTCATCATTAATAATAATAATAATGTGTCCATTTATATAACGCCAAACTCCACACTAGGTATGCTCATAGCGCTAACAATCAAGGCACAGCACATTATTACCCCGGATAACCCAAGCAGCCTGTTAGGCGCTAGAAGGTTATAGTCGTATGACTTTTTTCCACCGGGTACCCATTTTCCTACTGGGTGAACAGAGACAATTTTGAACAAACTCACTTGCCTAAGGTGAGACCACATGTGTCACATGTGCTTCGTTGTGGGGCAGGACTCAAGTCCTAGAAACTCTAAGGTGTCAAGCTGCCAAACACGGTCACCCATCCAAGGACTCTCCGAGCTCGACGCTGCTTAACTTCACCGATTTGTGACCTGAGCTTTGAGCACAGGACCACGCGCCACCAATCATTCACATGTACATGGGGTGTGTATACGGTTCGTATTGTTCGATTCGTTAAGGCAGTACCTAGTACAATGTGTGTGTGGTTTTAACAATATTTATTCTTTATTCAGGCATGTACAGTGGGACAGACAAACAGGGTTTCCCCTGTGTTATTGTCTCTCCCCAAACAAATTCATATTACAACAGGATGTTTACATCAACAATTATTATGCATTCAGGTAGAAAAAGCATTGTGACATACTGGTCTTTTCACGTAAAACGTTTGCTTAGTGATATAAACTTATGAACGGATTGGATTATTTTTGTATTGACATGATTTGATAGGCTCCTATTGCCTAGTACAATGTGTGTATGTGTGTGTGTGTGATGCGTGTGTGTGTGTGAGAGAGAGAGAGGTGCCACACATAGCCTCCAACAACATATATGGCCAACTGGTCTTCCTATAAACAGTATGTCTGTTAATACAGCTGAAAGAAAGGAGAGAGAGAAAGATGACTAGAGAGACTAATCTCAACGGCTAGGTTCTGGAAGATATAAGAGAGAGAAGACAGAGAGGGAGTTTCCCTTTCACAGATTAGCTCCTAGAATATTGATTGACAGAGCTTCTAGAATATTGATTGGCACATATTTTAGACCACAGATCAATACAGATTTTAGATTATGTATTGACACAGTTTCTAGACCATGAATGAACACAATATCTCGATCATGAATAGACACAGAAATCAGACCGTGAATAGACACACAATTTAGACCGTCAATGGACAATGCGCGGACACATATTCTGGACAATATCCACATAACGCAAGACTGGCATTTTCTGAAACATTGTGAAGAGAATATATGAATGTCTATATCTAATTACCAGCCTCCGACCGTTGCAACTATCTCATTACTAGCATCCGACTGTATCTGCCATCTAATTATCATCACCCATCTCAAGCAATTATCCAATTATCATCATCACACTTAAGCTGCCATCAAATTGCTGAAAGGATGGCCGACTTGACGATGTCATTGTGCTGTCTCATTGTCTGCCCCTTTACTTTATAGAAGGTAGTGAGTATTGATTGTCGAATCTGATCAAACGAACAAGACTGAAATGTATTAAATCTTTATCCAATACGTCACTAGGATAAGCCCAACTGGCACCAATTCAGCCTACGGGGTTAGTGATCTGTACGTTCTACCATCTACATATCACGTGACAGTTTCGCGGAACTCAAGCAGTATTTAATAGGCCATAGCTTCGTCACGGGTTTAAATACTTCGTGACAAACAACCCTCTTCATACGGGTTCTCTACAGAACACCCTCCCTTGATGGATTAGTAGGATAAGGACACCCTCCCTTGATAGATCAGTGGGATAAGGACACACTTCCTTGAGATAACCTGTTGGCTACAGACACCCTGCCTTGAGACACAATTAGACTCCAGAGCCCGTTTCTTAAGACACATGTAGGCTACAGACACGTGCACCCTTGCTTGATTCACTGGTAGGCCACACACACCCTTCCGTGAGAAACCAGTAGGCCACACACACCCTTCCTTGAGACACCAGTAGGCCACACACAGTGATGCACCAGTAGGCCACACACACCCTTCCTTGAGACACCAGTAGGCCACACACACCCTTCCTTGAGACACCAGTAGGCCACACACACCCTTCCTTGAGACACCAGTAGGCCACAGACACCCTTCCTTGAGAAACCAGTAGGCCACACACACCCTTCCTTGAGACACCAGTAGGCCACACACACCCTTCCTTGAGAAACCAGTAGGCCACAGACACCCTTCCTTGAGAAACCAGTAGGCCACACACACCCTTCCTTGAGACACCAGTAGGCCACACACCCTTCCTTGAGACACCAGTAGGCCACACACACCCTTCCTTGAGACACCAGTAGGCCACACACACCCTTCCTTGAGACACCAGTAGGCCACAGACACCCTTCCTTGAGACACCAGTAGGCCACACACACCCTTCCTTGAGACACCAGTAGGCCACACACACCCTTCCTTGAGACACCCAGGCCACACACACCCTTCCTTGAGAAACCAGTAGGCCACATACACCCTTCCTTGAGACACCAGTAGGCCACACACACCCTTCCTTGAGAAACCAGTAGGCCACAGACACCCTTCCTTGAGAAACCAGTAGGCCACATACACCCTTCCTTGAGACACCAGTAGGCCACACACACCCTTCCTTGAGAAACCAGTAGGCCACACACACCCTTCCTTGAGAAACCAGTAGGCCACATACACCCTTCCTTGAGACACCAGTAGGCCACACACACCCTTCCTTGAGAAACCAGTAGGCCACAGACACCCTTCCTTGAGACACCAGTAGGCCACATACACCCTTCCCTGAGACACCAGTAGGCCACACACACCCTTCCTTGAGAAACCAGTAGGCCACAGACACCCTTCCTTGAGAAACCAGTAGGCTACAAACACCCTTCCTTGAGAAACCAGTAGGCTACAGACACCCTTCCTTGAGACTTCATTAGGCAACAGACACCTCCTTTTCATACCAGTTGGCTAAACACGCCCTAGATAGCTTGAGACACAGATAGCTTAAATCGCTCAGCATCCCCCTTTGGGCCTATTTACGAGTCTCTACGTTTCTGAATTTAAAAGCATCCAGGTTATTAAATCGTTCAGCGTCACCCCATCGGCATATCAAGTATGGGATTGGTCTTCTGTTTAGCGGATTGTAACGGGATCGAAGTGTTCACTTCATTCAGCAGGACTGCCTTGACTTGAAACTAAGCAAGTCAATCCAGTTCATCAATGAGCTTGTAATATAGCTCAGACTAACGAATCTGAATACTGAAATGTTAGATGATTTTTTCCTGCCATTAAGCTGACAACACGTGATATATCTGAAATGCTATTCAAAGCAGCGTGCAACCAAACTCACTCACTCACTCACCCGCATATATCTCATTCCATTTATCTCTAATAAATCTTTAGAAGTACTTTTTAACATAAAGTCTTCTACACGCAGTTCAAAAAGCCCTGAGGTTCAATCTCCTCAAGGTGAAAGAATCTAAACAGATTTAAGAGGATTTTGCGTGCAAAAGCTCGATGAAACGTGAAGGGTCACAGGTCTGAAAACTGAGGAAACGCAGTCTCAGATGATAATGGGTATTCATGATGACGGTAGAGGGGATGGAGAAAGGAGAGGCAGATAGAGAAACAGTGATAAGGAAACACGAGATATGCTTTGAAGTCTTGTGTCATTGTCTTGGACTGGAGGCTGGAGTGAGTGAGTTTAGTTTAACGCCGCACTCAGCAATATTCCAGCTATATGGCTGCAGTCTGTAAATAATCGAGTCTGGACCAGTGATCAACAGCATGAGCATCGATATGCGCAATTGGGAACCGATCACATGTGTCAACCAAGCCAGCGAGCCTGACCACCCGATCCCGTTAGTCGCCTCTTACGACAAGCATGTGTTACTGAAAGTTCATTCTAACCCGGACCTTCACTGGTCGACTGAACATATGAACAGAGGCACGATCTTGATATTTTGACACCAATTGATTGACTGAGATACATCATATATTGAGAAGCAAAAAAACTATAACTCTCGTTTCATTTATTCGTGTGTGGAGGACGGTAGGGTTAGCCTATTGGGTAAAGCGTTCGCTTGTCACCCGGGTTCGATTCCCCACATGGGTACAATGTGTGAATACCGCCGTGGTATTGATGGAATATTGCTAAAAGCGGCGTAAAACCCAACTCACTCACTCACTATATGTGAATTTCAATTGAAAATATCTTACGTGAAATTATATCGATACAATGAACAGAACTGGCGTTTTGTCAGCACTCAAAGAATACTTCCCCAGCAAAAGCTGTTACAACATGGTACGTATTCCCGTATGTGGTACTCGACATTAAAGGGATAAACCAAGAACTGGAGTCGGTAAACTGTGGAAAATCCATAGTATAGTGATGTTTGGTATGTCATTGGGACAGTTGCTTTTAATCCGAAATATGGTCTGTCATACAGACCCTAAAACAAATATATCCAAGAAAGCCCATGCAAGTCTAGAATATGTGGCAAGTCTACATTTCCACAGTTTTAGGAAATGAAGAAAGTCTCAGGGCTCCTTTCATATGATTATATGTTATGATTATTATTTATGAACCGTTTTTTTCTGTTAAATGTATTCATTTCAGAGACTAGATGTTAGTCTATCCGAAATAATACAAGTAGCCACACACTCGAACGAATCCACACACACACACATGCGCGCACGTACACGCACGTGCT